AGCGGAACCGCAGCGCCAGGGGTAGTTGGGGCTGCACCGCGTTCATGCGCCAACAGAGGCACACGAACTTGGAGCAAAACCCGAAAGGACGTACGTGTCTTCAATCAAAAATGGAAAGGGCTGAGTGATCTAAGTATACGGTCACTGTGAGATCTCAAATAATAATCGAGGACTTGTAATTGTGACTGAGCCTCAATGGGTGCCGTCTGCATTTCCTATATTGCATGTATGGAATTAATAAGTATTCCGTAAGCATCAATACTTTATCTGCCAGAACTAATACTTTATTCCCTTCCGTCTGAGCCCAGCATAATCTGGGAAATACTTTGGTGATAGACACTACTGGCAGCCCATTTTCTTTCAGGCAAGTAAAAAATTTACTGTTATCTAATAAATCTAAAAGTTACTTCAAGCCTAAGATAACATAGAGCTGTCATCAGGACCATCGGAAGCCTCCCTCCTTTGTCAGTCCCACTGAAGATTGAAGAAAAGGGTGCAGTATTACTTCCTTTCTGCCAGTCCTCCCCATTTCTCCATTCTTATTACTGGAAAATAATAATTAACCGTAATGACTGCAGAGGGAGGTTTGGCTTCAAAATGCATAAGAATTCAGCTATGCTGAAATCCATTTCTGTCATAGATTCAATCATTTCTCAAAATTTCAGAGTTTAAAAAGAAATGGTTCAGCGTGAAACTCTTCCCATATCTAAGCACAGTAGATCAAGGTCCGTCACATTTTATGTTGGACCAGAGTTTTCTTCACTGTTTTTAATCCTGACTTCTCTTGAAAAGGACCCCCATCATTTGATCATCCAGCAGGTGTGTGATGAACACATCTAAATACTTCCTTTATCTGCTCTTTCTAGTGTCCAAGATGAGGCTGTGGACAAAAGCAACTTTAAGAAATGCAACCAGATTGCTTTTTACAGGTATGGAGAATTGTAGTGTAGTTACGCATTGACTTTTAATAACATCAAGTCTTCTACTTTCAGGATTTATCTTCCAAAGGTGAGCATTCCACTTACCTATCAGCAAGCAGTAATCAGCGGACTTTAAAACATGTAGTCTTACACCCAGAATGTCTTCTGTTAAAGTTCAAAAGGATCAGTCCTCTCTTCTGACAACGCCACAGCAATATTTTAATTTAAGTGCACTCAGATACAGATTGTTCTCTTGACACGGATGTTTCTTGACCATCTGCAGTTCAAAGCAGCAGAACACTCAGTAGAAATCATTTGTCTGTGACAATAGAATTCTGTTGAGCAAGTACCTTGCCCAGAATTCAGTGTCAAATCCAAATTCTAGCTCACTAGTCCCTTAAACTTAACCTTGTGCTAAGTCATATTTCTCATCTCATTTCTAACTGTGCTCTCGACTTTTTTCTTCCCTTTGTTGTGGTCTTTCCTGTGCTGACTGAAAGAAGTGTTTGTCTGTTGTTACACCAATTAGTCACTGACATATTTGGTTTATTAATGAAAAAGTTTGTCTTTAAGGTAGCGTCCAAGACAGTTATCTTCAAATACTTCATAAAACCTGGGCTTGGCATGGAGAATTCTACAAACATTTGAAAGAGCCTTTATTTCAGGATCTCTGACCTAAAAACATTATCAGGGCCAAAAGCTGTAGTCAAAACTCTGTAGTCATCAAATTTATCAAGAAACAATTTGCTTGGTGCATATTTGAAGGTTACACATTACAAACACACAGTGTTTCATCACCTCAGCATGTAGAAGGTGTTCATTGTAAGTTACAGGGATATATGACAGAAAATGAAAAACAGATTATTCAACTGAAATTTCAGGGATAAATGAAAGAACAATAATGGAATTGTACAGCTAAGAACTGGACACTTGAGACTATTACTGTTATAAAAAGCCATACAGAGTGGTGATGGGTGAACCCCTGAACCCCTCTAACATCTCATTCGTAAGCATTTAGGTGTGCTCAGAACTATATTCCTTCTTTTTCCTCATGACTTAAAGTGCTAATAATTGTATTTCAAGCTCAATAAAAGCTCAATAAAAATGATTAAATAAACATTTCTAACAATATGATGTCCCTCTGTATGATATAAGCTACAAGAGCTGGGGAGACAAAAAATAATTTCTGTCTTGACAGGCGTCAGAAACTTCTACATCCTGGAAAATCCCTGTATCGAGTTTTGTTCGATTCAGTCACATTAAGTGATGAGAATGTCAAATTCCAAATCATTCATGAGGAGAATAAGGTGAGCTACCATATAGCATAAGAGGGTGCTTATAGAAAGAGCAGTGAATATTGTCAACACGACTAATAATATTTACAGGTTTTGAGATTCTTCAGTGATAGATATTTGAGAGATAACACAAAGTATCAGCCTAAATATGTCCTTACTAATCAACATTTTAAGTTTTAAAAAATTAATGGCTGTATGAAAAAAGAGAAGACTTTTATCCTAAAAAATATTTTTAATTCAGAGTTTTCTCCACTGTTTCAAGGTAATAAGTTCTTTTTTTGTAATGCTAGATATCAGATGCTTGAAGATAAAGAGTTCACTTAAAAGGCATTGCATCTTCAAAGGGGTGAAGTAGAGTTAACTGGCATAAATTCATAGGGATGATGAATTTTACTCTCAACAATGCTAAAGAACAATAAATCAGAGAGCAGGCATGTTTTGTTTTTTTCCAGACAGTAAGTGTTTGGTGATGCTATGTTAAAAATAAGTAATTTTTATCCTTATGAGTTTATCTGTTTCTTTGCTCACAGGTTCTTCTACAAGTAGAAATTTATGAAATAGAAGGCAACATTTTCAGGCTTAAGATTGATGAGGCATCTCCTCTCAAAGCAAGATACAAAGTTCCTGATGTTCTTATAAAGGAACCTACCACCCAGAAGTAAGCAATGGGTGATTTAAGTGATGATTATTTAGCACCTCAATATCTTATACACATTCCTCCTTTATATTACAGTACAGTTGTCCCTCTACAACATAAAGTTCCTACAGGAAGAGGAAACAAAAATGCATGTGGTTTATTTACTTTCAAAAATTTATGTTAAATACTTAGGAAAGTATTTAAAAAATAGAGAAAGCTTTATCATACACACTAGAAAACTGAGCCTGTTTGACCCAATCAGAAAATAGCCTACTTGTTACAATGCAAAGTTTTTACCTAAGGCATTACCTGTTAATGTGAAAGGAGTGCAAGCTCTGGATAGTTTTCATGGCAGTTCTGTAGCCACTTTTTGCACTATGCAGTGAACCCTGATCACAGCATGTATTTCTGGCCTTCTTTGGCTTGATGTTAGCCTTGAGGTTTGTGTAATGTGTGCAGATATTCTCAGCCATCTTCTGTATCTATTGCTATTTAGTTGCAGCAGATTTCATGTGCTGTTGATTGATATAAAGCTGTTGTTGCTTTTCATTTGCCAGACTGTTCATATCCCACAAGGAGGCAGGTATTTTGGTACTGTCAAGTGTTAATGAAGACTACAAACTTCGAGTCACAGCAAACCCCTTCCAAGTTGAGCTGCAGTCCAAGGGTGAGACTGTTATGAGTGTGAATTCCAATGGTTTGTTGTATTTTGAGCACCTACAACCACCTCCCAGTGACAGGTACAGCATTTGTATATCTCATCATCGTATATACTGGTTGTGCTGTAGCTGAAAATAAAGTATAGAATTGCAATTTCTGAAAGCTCTTATGCACTGAAACATGACTTCTCTTTTACTTCATTAGTACAGTAAATACAAGGGGAAGTTTGTTATTTTAACAAACAAATTCTAGATCAATTAGCTGAAGACTGCTTTAATCCCTTGCAGTAGCCATTAACAATAAACTGATTATTTCTGTGTATTTGTTTTCATTAGAAAACCTACAGCACAAAATGAGGAGGCAGCAAGTGATTCCTCTAAGGTAACACATACTTACTGCAATTCAAGCAGGAATATTTTGTAAAAGAAAATTAAATTACATGTTCATTTTGTCCTATAGTATGTTTATAAATACAATCCAACCACCTTCAAAAAGGACCTGGTATAACATTTTGAGATATTTTACAAATTTATAGTTGAAGGAAGGTTTATCTGTTTTACCACCTTGTAGAAGGCATCAGTCAGGTAGATTTAGCCCAAAAATGTTTTTTTCTATAGTCTTTTTATTACTAATTTACTTCCCTTTTGTTCTCTTATTCGAACTGGAGTAGATGTGTAAAAGGGAGCTTTGTGGTGATTTTTGTCATTTCAAATTCCCTGTTCATTGCAAAGAGAGTTTCAAAAGAGCAAGACCTTTTTTATAACAGTCAAAAAATGTGTCTCCACATACATTCAGGCATAATACAGACATAAAATTCTCTCTTAAAATAGACCATGTGCTGGCAGCACATAGAGGCACATAGCAGTTTTCCCAGGAGGCTGAGCTGTGTCTGGGATATAATTTTAGCCCCCTGCAGAGCAGATGGCTGCTTACTCTGCTATCCTGTTATAAATGGCAGGAGCTGTGCTGCCTTCAGCATACTTATGTTTGAGCTCTGATTTCTGCCAGGGAAAGCACACAGCTGCAAGAGGCCACGTCCACTTACTGTGGGATGAATGTAGAAAAGAAAACTAGGGAAGACACTGCAAGAAGTGTAAATTCTATGACAATGAATTACAGGATACAAGGAGGTTAAAAGTATCAGTTACAGACGCTCCAGAGTGTCTGAAGAGCTTTTTCTGTGTCTGACCTTTACTGTTTGGGGGAGTGAGTTGGTTCTGTTTGTATGTGTTTTTTCTGTTTGGTTCTACCCATGCATTTCATGAATTTATTCAACATCAAGGAGGAACACATTTTTCACAGTGAGAATAATCAGTCACTGCAACAGCCTTCCCAGGAATGTGGCATAGTCCCATCATGGGAGGTTTTCAAGATTTGTTTGGATTGGCTGCTAAATAATCTCATCAAGGCTCCCTTTACCATTAAAGGGTGGACCATGTGATCTTTTGAGGTCCCTTTTAAACTGGGCTTTTCTGTCATTCTGTGATTCTGTCTAAGATCTCAAATATTATTTTATGCTGTAGCAGACTGCTTCTGTACAACATATGCACATCAGTTCTTCAGTGTAAATTCCTGGAGCTGAATCTGATTTGTGGTTTTGATTTATTTATATTAGCCATATGTGGCCAAAAAAATAAAGCAGTATAAATCTCATGTGAACAATCATGTTTTTCTTAAAACTACATTATGTGTGCAGTTTCATTTGCTAGGCTTAGCTATTTTTGTTTGTACAGGAAAGACAAGAGGATCTAGGTCTCTGGAAAGAGAAATTTGGCAGTTTCTTGGACATCAAAGCTCATGGTAAGTCTCAGTCTAGTTCTGAAAACAGCTTTACTGTTTTGTATATAGCCATGTTCATTCATATTTCTGTCTGCTTTCTGTTTAGCTGCTTAATGTTTATCAATGTCCCACTTGCTCCTGCTTCTCAGTTGCCTTAACTTTGTCTTAATGAGAAATCAGTGATGGGTAGCAATTTGACAAAAACTCTGCAAGTATTCATTTGATCTCTGTTCAAGAGGGAACACATTAAATGTGACCCATTTCATCAACTCACTGTATGCCATTTCTGACACAGCATTAACACTATCTGCATTGTCTGACTTTGCATGTATATATTGTATATAATACATTTTTTCCTTTTCTTTTTTTTTGGTATTAGTACATAACATTGACTTCACTTGTAGTTTATTCTCATGATATCTAAGCATTAATAATTGTCACAAAGAAACCCTTTTAAGTGTGGACTAAAAAAGGGAATACGGAGCAATCTTAAGTGATAAAGACAAAAGTTATAGACACATGAGAGTGGTAACTCAAGTAAAATTTAAATTATAAATTACCAAAATATATGAGGATCTGCTGTCCATCCCCTTGTATTCTATATTAATTAAGTTGCTTGGCTTTGTGCATTACCATTATCATGCAGACTTTTATAGTGATCAGCACTACCCAGCAACTGCAGTAGAAGAAGGGAAGTCTGAAAGCAATTCCTTTTGGTGGCAGAAACTTCCTCAGTTCACAGTCAAGATCCAGAGGGCAGGAAGCTGTTGCCCTTGTTGTTTATGCTATTTCTCATGTCTTAGGCCAGCATCATCTTTTTGTGTTTTCTGTGTCAGAGGAATAAGGTCCATATGGTCAGATTCTGATCCTGAAGCCACTGTTTGTCAGTCTTCAGGATCTCAGGTTGCCTGCCAAAAGTTGCTCTGGGTTCAGTAGTGTGACAGGATGATATCACTGGTGGGGACTCTTGTGCATGCTACTCCCCTGGCTGAGCCTGAAGAGAAGACCAGTGGGAAACAGACAATTCAGATACTGAAGTTTGCTGTGCTGCAAAGTTTGGCTTTTAGGTAGGGGTAGAAACAGGAGATAGTTTTAAGTAGTTTCACTACAAAATAAAGAAGTGACCCATGGCTACATGGATTTGGGATTTTTTTCTGTTAAAGTGATTAATTTTATCTTGTTAAGATGTTCAAAATCAAAAGAAATATAATAAAATCTGTTTCAAATATTACCTCTATAGAACAGAAGTAATAATGGAAGTGAAGTTAAAAGGAAGCATGAAAGACTTAATTATTGAAACATTGAAACCTATTTTCTTTTGGTTTATCCAGTTGTGTTGCTCTGCTTTATTCCTTTCAGATAAGTCTAAGAACTCTGCATTCTCATAATTTAATATTATTTCCACAGGTCCTACTTCTGTAGGCATAGACTTCTCTTTACATGGATATGACCATGTTTATGGAATACCACAACACGCAGAAACACTTCTTCTCAAAAACACCAGGTAAAGGTGTCAAGGCATCAGACTGCTCGTGAATGCAGTGTCTTTTTTTGTTTGTTTTGTAAGAGACAGCTATAACATAGTATTGTTAATTTAACCCAGACAAGACCTTGAGATATGTGTATCATATAGTGTATTTTTTAGTGTAATATTTTAGTTAGTTGAATTGTAGCCCCTATCCATGCGGAGTAAGGCATTCTGCTTTCCCTAGTGTGCAGTTTCATGAATGGCCCTTTCTGTTCTCTCCCAATTTTCCATGCAGTTTTTTTCTGACTTCCAGGATTGGTCATGTTTCAGCAGAACTCATAAAAGAGCAATTCTATGGGAGGATGGGAGAGTTCAGAAATAATGTTTTAGGATTTAAAGCAAACTCACAATAGTCTCCCTGGCAGCAAAACTCTCATTTGCTTCAGATTGTAAGGACCAAAGCAAAGAAGCAGTAATCTAGGCAGTCCATATTTCAGCTCTGGATGCTAACAAAAGACTAGAACACAAAGCACTTACTGAGTATTCACCAGGTTTAGTGAGACAGCAATAGAATTAAAACTAGCCTAGTGCAAGGTGCTTACGTGTAACAAACACATCTGTTTGTTTGTCCTAGTGATGGTGATGCCTACCGGCTTTATAATTTGGATATTTTCGGACACAAGATACATGACAAAATAGGCATTTATGGTTCAGTACCCCTTCTCTTAGCACACAAGCCTAACAGAACTTCAGGGATCTTCTGGCTGAACTCTTCAGAAACACTGGTGGATATTAGTACAAAGGCAGTAGCTGAGGTGAGAATTATTCACTTTCCTCAGAATTAAATTACAAAAGAAAGCACTTCAGGATAAGGCCAACAGGAATTTAACACTATTGGAGATTTATCTTTTGCTCACTAATGAAGAATTGTAAGTCTCTTCCTCCTGTCCTCCCTATTGCTAAATTTGTTGTATTAAACTAAAAGAACAAAGAGATCGCTCCTTTCAAGAGCCAAGTTAGAGATTTTGTATCTTAACAGATCTACAGGAGGAGACAGAGAGAAAATACATAGAAAAAATCTACACGGATGTAGAGGACAGAAAAAATGGTGGACAAAAATCTTGACGTTCACTTGGATTTTAGAAATTTTTATGAGTGTTTAAATTCTTGGAATTGCCGCAGATTTCTGCTTAGCAGGCTCATTCTTCTGTGGAATGTAATTGACCTTGAAGAAACATAAAATGTTCAGGAAAGGAACTCACTCTTGAAACACAAACATGAATTCTGTTAAAATTGACACAGTGACAAGCAAATCTTGCTTTTCCAGCACTGCATTATGTGGTTAATTTTATTTTTTTATTTATTATATAGATATTACTCAAAGATCATACAGAAAATTCACAGTCCTTAATTATGGAAATGCTTTAATATTTTGCCACTCATTACTCATTTTTTCTCATAACCTATTACTCTACTTTGTGTAAGTGGTATGCAAGGTAAAGAATTGTGAAGGATTTATAAGAAACATTCAGTGTGTAGTCCTACTACCTGCCAGGTATGTGGTGGTGAATTTTGTGTGTTCCCCTATTTGCTCCTTCATTGAATAAAAGTATGATAGAGAGAGAGATTCAGGTTTACCTTGTTTTCCTTCTAAGCACACTCCATCTAGATCTGCTGCAGAAACTGCTAAGCAGAGAGCAGTGCCTCTAACTGATGTTCGCTGGATGTCAGAAAGTGGGATCATTGATGTTTTCCTGCTGATGGGACCCACTGCATTTGATATCTTCAAGCAGTTTGCACAACTGACAGGTACTAACTGACATAATTGGAGTCAGAATGGCACGCTTATCCAGGAGATTGTCTGAGGAACGTGCTGTACCCAAGAGTGGGTCAATATTTACCTAGCCCATTGTGTGCAGGGGCCAGTTGTTCCCAAACTGCAGTGTGTAGATCAAAGGCTCGTGCTTTGTGAAGACAGGCCTCTATCCTTGTTTTCTGTAGCATTCAGAGCTGGTCGAACTTGCCTGTAATTGAGAAGCCAGCATAATCCCTGCTATCTGAAACTGCACCCTTAGATAAAGAGGTGAAATGCAGGGGGATAGAACGGCCAGTCACACGACATGTATCACAAGTATCAAGACATGCCACCTTTTAATGTGGAAAGACTGAACTTATTTAGAGTTTAATCTTGATTCATATATTCTTTCTAGGCACTCAAGCCTTGCCCCCACTTTTTTCTCTGGGCTACCATCAGTGCAGGTGGAATTATGAGGATGAACAAGATGTCAAGGCAGTGGATGCTGGCTTTGATGCACATGATATTCCTTATGATGTCATATGGCTGGATATAGAGCACACAGATGGCAAGAGGTATTTTACTTGGGACAAAAAGAAATTCCAGAACCCCAGAAAGATGCAAGAACATCTCAGGAAGAAAAAACGCAAGGTAAATAATATTGCAGGAAGAAAGAAAGATTTCTCTCTAGTGTGAATCTACCCAATCTAGCTTTAAGCATGGTACATCTGATACTGGAATCAGGTGAACTTCAACACATTAAATTAGACTATGTTGCCATCTGGTGATGTTTCCAGCATGGAAGCTCCCTTGTTTAATTCAGTTCCTTATACCATTTTATTATTTAGTAGTTTGTTCTGTATCCTGACAATCCAGCTAAATTTGACCCATGTGGAACTCCATCTTACAGAAACGGCTCAGCATTGATGAACACAGCAGAAAATCTTTCTTCTTTACATGATCTTTCACCATTGATACTTTCTGTGGTTGTTTCTGCATTTCTGTTTTTACCGCAAAAACATTTTCCTTGGAATTATTGAGTTGTAGAATTGCTTAATGCTTGATCTTTGCCAAAAGTCAATGAAGAGGGGATTGTTGAAACAGTATTCAAGTTTTATAGTCTCTCAGTTGGAGCTGTAGTACTTTCTCAGCTCTGCGGTAAAGCAGCAGAATGTAACTGCAAAACACAATACTTGTTGCTGTTGTATGATACACAAACTAAAATAAATTTAACTGTCTTAAGGCGTATGATTTTAAGCAGGCACATGAACACAAAAGATATTTTCCCATTCACAGAATACAGCAGTGAATTAAACAGATTGTTTTTAGGGGTTGGGGTACTTGCTTTTATCTGAAACAATGGCTTTTGTCATTTATTTCAGAAGGGTAAGTTCATACACTCCTTGTAAATTCAGGTCCTGTACACATGTCTAACACAGTATCTGAAAAACTGATATCTGCTTTTTAAAACTAGGGACGCAGCTCTCTTTACCTGAGATGAAGTCATTCTCTGCCTTTTAGCAAAAGTGAACTCTTACTGTTTTATTAAGCACAGCTGATCTTAATGATGTGTTTTATTTTCTTACCCTGACAGCTTGTGGTCATCGTAGATCCTCATATTAAAATTGATCCCTCATATACCCTGTATGCACAGGCAAAAGAAAAGGGATACTTTGTGAAAGACAGAAATGGGCAAGATTTTGAGGGCATCTGTTGGCCAGGTAAAAAACACTGTGTCTTTATATTTTAAGCTGTTTATTTTAAAAATTTTGCAGAATAGTTTAATTGGGATGCATGGAAGCAGAATTGAATTCTTATATTCCTTTCAGATTCCTTACATTCCTTGCAAATTCCTTGCATTTGCTGTAAATGTTAGTAATTATAATAAAAAATTTTAAATAATATCATTTATAATAATGGGGGAGGGTTGGTCCTCCCCATAATGTCCCAATTGCCTCAGCTGTATAAATTGCCTCTGCTATATCTATTGGATGTGCAGCTAGTGTCAGTGCCTAGAACTAGAAGAGTTGGATATATTGATAAGAAGAGCCATTCCTCTTCCCAGCTTGTCTTGGACGCAGAAATGCAGTCTGGTCCATTGCAGTGAGCACAGCCTATGTAGGCTGGATGAAATTTAGCGAACCTTGATCCGGAGGACTTTGATTCAAGAGAAACACAGTGATTTGACACATTATGTTTCATGAGATCTCGTTGCAGGGAGGCAGAGGAGGTTGTCTCCCTTCTTTACAGACAGGAAGCACACAGTCCTGGTGAAGGAATGATTACAGGAAAAATCAAGGACATATTACAACTTCTAGTAGCATGGTCGGATGTAGTTATTCAGCTTCTCAATGACACTTTTCTGTTTGAGCTCAAAATACCAGTGGTGATGGCTTTCCCTGACTACTTGTTCACATGTGAATGTATTTGAAACTGCTAGACATCCTTAAATGGTACTTAGCTTCAGACCTCCTGAATCTAAGTGTGTTGACCTTCACAACATGGCAAAGGGTGTGCTGAATTCCAAGTCAGCCTGGAATTTGGTCTTGAGCTTTAATTTCAGAAAAAATAGCAACTACATTATTGCTGCCCATGGAAACCATTGTAGCTTTAGGCCATTGTATATAGGTGCAAAGACAATATTCTTAAAATCAGATAAATAATTGGGATCTCCAACATCCCCAGGTTCCTCTTGTTACCCAGATTTCACCAATCCTGAAGTGCGAAAATGGTACGCAGATCAATTTGCCTTCAAAACGTACAAGGTTTGTATTTATTTGCTCTGATCTACATATCCCAGAAAGCCTGAAAAGGGAGGAGAGAAGATACTGCTTAAGCAAGTTGTTGGCCTTTGTAGCTCTATTATTGTGTATAGGAAAATGCCTTGATAAGCTGAAGTACCACAGAAGGATTTTCTCCGTGGACATATCTACACTGAGCCAGTTGGAACTCATATGCCACCAGTGAACACACACTCTTAGTTGCAGCAATATAAGGGACAAACTGCAGGCATTTTAAGAACCCATAAGCTGAAGCAGGTGCTGCTATTCCAGCCTTTACTACCATGATAGCACACAAGGAGGGATGTGGAAGTGCACTCTCACCCCTTAGTCACTTCATCCTGACCTTCCTGCCTAGTGCTGAAAGTGTCTGGGTGACCATTGCTGCACACCTCCAGTTCCTCCCACCCTACTTCAAAGTCCTAGTTTGCAGGAGAGTTGTTGAAATCACTTCCCTAGTAGACATACATAGTAGATATTTCCCATACTGCTTTTTCTCTCCAGCTTTTACATCTGGTCTTCTCTGATTTTTCCTAATGGCTGTTTTATACTTCTCTTTTCCCTGCCTCTTTCCCTCACAAGAAAGCAGGAATAGCAAGTGCCTAACTGAATTTTGTAAGAATTGCAAAGATCAAGTGGGCTTGCAGGCTGCTACCCTGACTAGAAGGGCCTCTGAGAGGGATGAGATGACTAACTGGGGGCTTTCAAGTGACCTGAGAAGTGTAATTACCAAGTCTTGCTTTTGTCCTGCTGTTTCTACTCATACCCCAGACTGGCCCGACACCCACTTGAGATAAACACTCAAAATCACAGGATTGACTCTGTCATGACCTAATTGAAGCCCTGTGTCACAGGGATCCACTAATATCCTCTTTGTATGGAATGATATGAACGAGCCTTCGGTCTTCAAGGGGGCAGAACTAACAATGCAGAAAGATGCTGTGCACTACAACAACTGGGAGCATCGGGAAGTACACAACCTCTATGGATTCTACCAGGTAGAGTATCTGGAGACACAAACTGCAGTTATTCTATGGAATATGTGTGATGTGGTACTTCACACAGTAGTAGGTATTCTATAGCCTTCATCAAGGTCCAAAACTCTGCTGGATACTGCAGTGTTTGAAATAAACTGTGATTGGTCACAAGAAAATGTGACATCATTTGTGCCTTACTACCATCGTAATGTAAATTACATTGGTGTGACTACTGAATCTTTTTGTTCACATGTCTTCTAATAAGAACATGTTATTTAATAATAGGTATTATTTCTGGGAACAGATTTGCCTTAGCTTTTCTGCCTTAGAAGGGCTAAGAAGACAATGTAAAAATACACTAATGAAAGAGTTTGTCTTCCTGACTTTTCCATTCATGACTTTTCAGCAAATGGCAACCGCAGAAGGACTCATCAGACGTTCTTCGGGAAAAGAGAGACCATTTGTCCTTGCACGATCTTTCTTTGCTGGATCACAGAAGTATGGTCAGTAAGAATTAGCTGAATGCCTTCCTTGTTGCTTTATTATATTAAGTTTGATGGATAGTAGTCTAAAGAGGACAGAAGCTGTTTTAGAAATACTGATGTGGTAAGCTTATAAGAGTGCAAGTGATTAAAAAAATCAGGAGAGGCTGGCAAGGTGTGTATGAGTCAAAGATAGAACAGCAATCTGTGTCCTGTGATAAATCAATAGCTGTTTTTATTGCCTATTTCAGGAGCACGGATTTATAAAGAAAAAAGAAAGGTGTAATGTACAGGAATTCCAAAGTAGTTAATGATTATTCTTGTCTTCTTTCCTTAACTGCAAGCATAAACTGAGATATACATTCAATTTTCCTGCATAATCCTGAAACTGTGAATTTCCAGGGGCAGTGTGGACTGGAGACAACACAGCAGAGTGGAGTTACTTGAAAATATCTATTCCAATGCTTCTTACCATCAACATGGCAGGGATTTCCTTCTGTGGAGGTAATGAGTTTCTCACTGCGCATAAATTGTGCCATCAAGCTTGTATTCCCAAGGTAGACTTCAACACAGACGGTGGAAAGTTCAACAGCCCTCTGCATTTCCAGGTGGTTTCACAGATTAGTCTGGTTTCAGAAGCCTGAAACCTGCCTCTCACCATCATGTCTCTCTCCACGAACTTTAGTGCAGTGTTTTTGTCCCATCTGGAGTAGCAGTCCTCAGGTAGTGTTCTGTTTACAGCATCACTGTGATAGTGCTCTGTCCCTCGCAAAATCACTCACTTAGCCTTCAAAACCTCTCTTGAGTTGTTTTTTTTTCAAAGCATAACTTGTTGCACTGGTGTTTTACTTTTATTTGGACAAGCACCTGCCCAACAGGTGAACAGAACAGTGAGCAAACTGTGAAATGCATGGATTTATACCCTTGGGATGTTTGTTAGAGGAGAGCTTCACATTTTCCAGAGCAATCTCCACAACTGTGTATTTTTATTTGTCTGCGCAATATCTAGCTGATGTGGGAGGGTTTATTGGAGATCCAGAGCCAGAGTTACTTGTTCGCTGGTATCAGGCGGGAGCCTACCAGCCCTTCTTCAGAGGTCACTCTAACATGGAGAGCAAACGGCGTGAACCGTGGCTCTTTGGGGAGAAGAACACCCAGATCATCAGGAGAGCCATTAGAGAGCGCTACGTCCTCCTGCCCTACTTATACACTCTGTTCTATCGGGCACACACAGCGGCTGAACCCGTCATGAGGTAAGAGCATGAGCCAGCAGGCCTAGAGGGTATCTGCAGGAGCTTACTTGGAGAAGGGAGGCTAAATTACCACCTCTTAGTTTTGTAGTTCCTTATTTGACTATTAAAAGGGAGAAAATCAGACAAAAGTTCTAATAGTGAATTCTCTTTTCATGCATTCTGTGAGCTTTGTTAGGGCTCTCAGAGGAAAATTATGTTCTGAGTTTTTCCCCAAATGACACCTGGAACACACTAATTCAATAAACACATTGCAGTCTTTGAACTTTTTAGAGTAGTCTGGGCTTCAAACTTTTCGTCGTGATAAAGACCATCACATAGTAGTCCAACCAGTACATAAAACAGTGCTTAATGGACTGTGAACTTGACCTGGAAATGTAACTGCCATTTTGCCTCTCCTGAAAATATTTGTTACTGCTTAACTGTTATAGTTATAAAAACTTATTTCATATTAATAGTTTCATCACTTTTTTCTGCAATATTGCTTATAATGCTTCTTTTAGTAGAAAATTTAATAATCTAGAACAGAAATGAAATTACAAAATAAATTATTTGTTCTGTTGCTCTCTAACCTCTTAAAAATGCTCGTCTATGGAACTGAATGCAGCACTTCTTTTGGGAGGAGACTAATGTCATTAAGCTCCCTGGTATAGATTATAATCTGTGTTTGTTTGTATTATAATCTGTGTTTGCAGTTTCCCTAGAACTGTTCTTTTGCTCACACTTGCCTTTATATTTTGTTATGCAGATACATCTTACATGTTTTAGAAACATAACAGTCTTTTTGACAAGGGTTGAGTGGTTTGAGTTTTGAAGATAATTGAAGACTTAGTAGTGTGTGTCTGTCTGGACCTGTGTAGGTGTAAATGCACCTGTTTTATGCACTGACAGAAACAGTGGGTTTCTGTCTTCCTTGAAATGAAGCTTTTGTTTGCATGGTAACTGCCCACAGTATTAAATCACACTTCATTGTGTTAAGTTTGCTGCAGTAGGTACAGAATTAGACGGGAAGTGTATTTTTCTCACTGAGACAAGCAGAATGGAAGGTGTGTCTCATTAGCAAGCACATGAGCAGCAGGACTGCAGTGAACAGGTGGATGCCTGTGTGTGAGCAGGTGAGCCAGGCTTTTGTGTAAAGAAACCCGGACCCTGTCTCTTAACAAGCTGTTGTTGTCATAATCTCTCAAACTTTAAATATACAACTCCTGTTCCATAACCAGATGGTTATTACACTACACTTTTTTGAAATAGACTGAAATGAGCTTCTGGTGCAGGTTTTTCAGGAGTGGCCAAGGTGAGACTTTCTATAAAAAGCAGCAGGGAGCTGTTGAGAACAGGAAGGATTGTGCTCCAGGGACTAGTTCATCAGGGGCCAGCATTGCTGGTAGACTGGGACACAAAGGCTCACTCATCTCTCCTTTGATAGAAGAAAGGCAAATGTAGTGCAAGGTTGTAAGGAAGAAGGCAGGAGGGAAGAAATTGATGCCACAGATGTAAAGATAGGTATACTGGAGTGTCTTAACCCATGCTGTACTGGGGACTCTCAGCAGGGGCAAAGAGGCACTTTGAGTCACTGACACAAAAGAGAACCTTACCCTATGTTCACTTCTTGGTAACTGTGCCTTGTAAAGAGAGGGAAAAAATGGAGCCTGAAAATGCTAGAAAGACTTGAACAAGTTGATTGGAGAGGAAAAATGTAACTGAATTCCATTATCTTTCTTTTCTACAGGTCTCTCTGGATAGAGTTTCCAGGGAAAATGGAAACTTTTGATGTGGAAAATGAGTACATGCTGGGTAAGCAGGTGTCTTGTTCCCTGCAACTTGAGTTAAATATTTTTGAGGTGTTGCATGAGAAAAAGAAAATATTAAAACACTGCCCAAGACTTAAAAAAATTGTAATTGAATATAGAACTTGAGAATATAGAACCTCTTTAAGGGACCTCCTTTTTGCAGCACTTTGAAAACAGAGGATATAGGAGATACACAAACTCACTTGTATCTCACTAGTCACTTTGAAAAAACATTATTGCTTTTGACCTGAAACATCAAGTTCAGTACAGCAGCTAAGATCTGCTTCAAAAATGGCAGTAGTAAACAACTACCACCCAAACATGATTGGTTTGTACTGTGGTATGTTTGGCTGCTGAAGTCAGTCAGCCATCAGCCCACTACACAAGCCTTTTTCTTCAATAGAAAGTGAACCTAAGCATATGACATGCCCAGGCAAGCTCCTGGAATTGCTGTGGGAGCTTGACAACCCCAGAGCACACAGGGTCTGCTCTGGGAAGATGCAGCTTTGAGGACCATAGCTGTATTTATGTTTTTCTCCAGGAAATGCTTTGTTGGTACATCCAGTCACAGAGAAAGAGGCCAAGACAGTGACAGTTCTGTTTCCAGGGTCAGAGGAGGTAAGGATGTATATGAATTGCTCAGCTAATCATCTCAAAGAAGTATTTTATGCAGAAACCTTCCAGCTCCCCATCTCATAACTGCTGAGCACTAATGCTGTGGCAAGTCTTTGCTGGCCATGCTGTGCCACTCTGAGTCCTTCCTTCCATGTTGATGCCTTGCTTGCTTGGCTCACAGTTAATTTGCTTTCTTGCTTTTCCACAAGCTGCTGCACAAATTTCAAGTCACCTACAGTTTAAATCTCCCTTCAAAGCTTGCTCATCAATCACCACGAAACAGCTTCCCTACACTGTCAGTTACCTTTTTGCATTTATTTCTCTTTGGGTTGAACTTCTCATTTTATGTAGGAAAAAAAAGGGAACTTTGAAGAAAGGTCAAAAGGTAATGAGAGGGGAACTGTGGGGAGGGAAATTCTAACAAGTCAAGCCTCAGTAGCCTGGGACATGTATAGCAAACACTGACTCATGCAGAGAGCAGTTCCTCTCTGAAATAAAGGTATTTATCCACAGGATGGCACAGTGGTTCACTCCTACCAAGAGCATTTGGCTACAGCAGCAGTGAAGTGGAGGAAGGGAAATGATTTGGGGAAAATAGTTGCTAAGGGAAAGCCTGAGACTCTAGAGAGTAAGCAGCAAAAAGGGGTGTATGAGACCATGCAGAGTCTTGTGACTTCACTAACTGAGAACAGTTAGAATTCTTCTCAGTTTAAGGAGAAAAACAGACTAGGCTCTCCAGACAAGTTAAGGAAAATACTTTTATCAAGATCTCTGTGGCAATTGAGTGCTTGGCACACCTAAAGTACTTAAACCTGCTGCCAAGTGTGGTGCATGGGAGATTCAGATGCAGCTCCCTTTTGTCACCTGTTATTAGCAACTTTGTTGTTAATTTTCACTTCAATATAAATATGCTTTTTTAAGAACTATATTTTAAAAAAATTAAAGTGTTTCATTGTTTTGCACTTCCAGATGCTTTAAGACATACAAGACATTATGCAAATGATAGAAAAGGTCAGATGATTTTTGTGCTTCAGAAATTACAATTTATTCTTTTCATCCAGAAGATCATTTAATTTAAAAAGTAAATACTTTTTCTTGCCTATCAAATAGGTTGTTAGGAATACTGACAAGTTAGGGAGAGTAACTGCATCTGCAGAGGGTAAAGATTTTGGCATATGTGTCATGCTCATTCTTATTTCATTTTTTCTAGATTTGGTATGATTTCAGAAAATTTAAGCGAATGGAAGATGCGGGCACAGTGAAGATCCCAGTAACACTGGAGAATGTATGTTTTTGTTTTAAAATGCTACTTTCATGGAGCAGAAAAAACCCCAAGCTTTTGTTTTGTCAGTATTCAGAATCAGAAAAGTTACAATTTAATTTCCTTGTAGAAATGTAATCTAAAATAGCTTTTGTATAAAACTCCCATCTCCTCTGTTGTTAGATTAAACCCTGCTGTGTCCTGGTAGTAAAATGAGGTGATATAACAGTTACTTTTCCAAGAAAAATTATTTTGCTTATATGCATGCAGAAGTTTAATACTATTACCATTGTTAGTTGAATGATTTTCTTTATATATTTGTGGTAAAAGTTCATTTCTAAGTTGAGCAAACTTCTGTTATCTCTGATCCTCATTAAAATTGCATTATCGGAGTGCGGGAACCTTTCTGCCCTGGCTTTGTGTTTTGCAGATTCCTGTATTCCAGCGGGGGGGCACTGTGATACCTCTGAAGACCTCAGCTGGAAAATCCACTGAATGGATGATAGATATTTCTTATGAACTCCACGTGGCCTTAGATGCAGAGGTATGCTGGGATAGTGTTCCCTTTTTACAAAGATGTCTTCTACTCTTGTCTGACCTTTTTAGGCCCTGTTTGATCAGCACAATGGCATCTACATTTGAGTGCCCAATGGCTCTTCTCCAAGTGTGTGTTTGAGGGGACTCAGACAGCTCCCCCACTGTCCCCTCTAAGCATGACTATCTGAGTACAGCAGAGCCAGAATATTTTTCTGACTTTTTTCAGCCCTTGTCTAGTCCCTTGGAGGGAGGAGCAGAGAATGAACAAGCCACAAACTTCCTTTTGGACACAGAGAGGGAACTTCCTACAACTGTCTTTGCTAGTAAAGAGGTGACATATGGCACCTGCATCAATTTACAAAACCAGGATGTCCAGCAGTCTCAGAGCTGGATTGCTTGAGCCTTCCAGGGATACAAGCTGCTTAAGGAAAAAAAATACACACCTTCAATATGAAGCATAGCATATAGTGAGACAGTTTAATTATTCAACACTAGAAGTTGCTGTTATATTGTGCTTTATCTGGTGTGTTTCACAGGCCTGTGCCATAGGTGAGCTCTACGTAGATGATGGGCATTCATTTCAATATCTCCACAAGAAGCAGTTCCTGTATCGGAAATTCACTTTCCACAAGAACATTCTCTCTTCCAGGTAACAGCAATCATGGACAAAAGCCACCAACACACTGTCACTGGAAATGCCTGTTCTAGTTCATGAGGCCTTCTTACAAAGGTAGCAGTATTAGTCTCATCTGTTGCTTAGTGAAGTCCGAGAGAGTGCAGAATCTGTCATAAAACTTGCTGAGGTAAATAGTGTTCTACAGAAGTCTGAAGGCAGTGCCACGTGAAATACTGAGCTGTCTTACATTGTTTCATTGTAGTCAGACTTGAGATTCTGCAGATGGACACAAATATAAAGGAAGTCGTTAGAAAGAGTACAGCCTGTCTGAGAGACAAAAAAGATAGATCAGGAGATTTGCAAGTATGCAACACCTGGAGCGTTTATATTTTCTAAGATTTGTTTTCTAACATAATCTTTGTTGAGAGGGTGGTCAGTCACTGGAACATGTTCCCCAGGGAAGTGGTCAAGGCATCAAGCCTTTCCTAGTTCAAAGCACATCTGGATGATGATCTGAGTCACATGGTTAGGTTTAGGTAGTCCTGCAAGGAGCAGGGAGTTAGCTTGATTCTTATGTGTCCTTCCAAGCTGAGATATTCAGTGCTTCTGTCTGGGAATCAAAACCACACCTTTGCAGTCTCCCAAAGTAATCAACAAATTCACCGTATATATTAGCATGAAGAAAAATACTTGAAGGGAGGCACAAGCAGATACCCCCTGCAAAGGTTCAGTGACAAAACCTAAAAGCCAAAGAGATGCCAAAAATGTACTGTAGCACTTTTACTATTGAGGTGCATTGCACAGAGGGCTGTGTAGTGCATAAATGGTGATTCTACAGACATTTTTTATTCTTTCAAGCTTCAGAAGTATGCAGGTGTTGGTCCTAAAGCTACAAAATTTAACACAGGGCAAAACTAGTTTAGCTTGTATAATGTGGTTAAAAGTATACTTCAAATCTCCTTATATAGAATATGAAATCTGAAAAGCTTAAAAATTCAGGATGGGAAAGAAAAATGTTGCTAAATTGCTAGCAAATCTGAAGTTGGAAAAAAAAGATTTTGATATTAATAACATCCTGTTCGTTAAAAAAGAGGTGCATTTTGATTTGATTTGGGGGTTTTTTAGAGCTTTTTAATAAAAATTCAATTAGTTACAAAATTAAACATAATTTTGTCTCAAATTGAAGTATTTTACGTGAAAAAAAGTTAAAATTAGCTTTACATTTATATTTAGGAGTTTTGACTACTGTTTTCTGAAAATCCAGAACTTTTCTGGTTCTCAAAGCCATGCTTTTTGCCTTAAAATAGCTTATCAAACTGTTTTTCTTCTGACTGTGAAATCTGATATGCAGTGAAAAAATCAGCTGACAGTGGGAGAAAGCTTTACTTGTTTTTAAGACAAAGGTAGAGGAAAGGAAACCAGTATAGGAAGCTTTCAGGATGAGACTGAAGTAATAATATTTGTGTGATACTGAATTTATTCTGATGGAAAGAAATTGATGTATATGAAATTATTTTCTTTTTTCAGCTGCATAGATGAAAGCGGACAATACCACACTACATGTGTAGTTGAACGGGTGATAATTCTGGGATTTGGAAAGCAACCCACTTTTGTGACAGCCAGTGCCAAGGGTAATGAATTGACTTCTATTTTACTACAATTCTTTTCAAATTCTGTTGCTCTGCTGCCATTCACCTGAGGTGTCAAACTGACAGGTCTGCAGAAGAAGTGTTACAGCTTAGGAAGCCTCTTTGTTTAGCTTTCTTTGTTACTTTTTTATATCAAGGACAGAATTTAATGAAAGGAACCAGCAGCTATTCACCACTAATACTGCATGCAGAACTGAAGAACACTGACTTTGAAAGATGATAAATACATCAGTAAATGTGGTTTGGAATGAACACATTCAGACAACATGAGCAGAGATGGCACTTCAAATGAAAGCCCATTTGCTTAGGTCTGTTAACCTGCCTAGTCTAGAACAGGAAACTTGCAGACAAACCCAGATTTACTCTTCTGTTTCCATGCTCATCCAAAACCTCTGGAGTTCCTGACTATATGGAGATCTCTAGAAGTTGTGAGGTATCCTATAGGGATAGGCAGTAGCAGCTACAGAAGGGGCATACAATTTCTGGTTGCTTTTCAAGCATGTCCCTTCATTTTGAGAGTCATGGGGAAATGTACTTTCTGCCTCCACCTGTCAAGGGTGCCTGGAGGAACACCTGTGCAAAAACCAGGGTGATTTTTTTTCAGAAAAAATCTTAAGTAGTTCCATAGTTTGATGTACCATAGTTTGAAAGATCAGAAAAAAAGAAATATTTACTTTCTTATTCCACTGCATTCTTATATGTGTGCTGGGAAGATTTGACTTCTATTTGTTTTTTAATCAATCCTTTCCATCAGTGGCAGGGACAGTCAGAACTAAAAACTGTAGAGTCCACATGTAGCTGTGTTTCAGAAGAATTCTTCTTAAATTAAATAGAAAACTCTCTTGTCCTGTTCAGATGGAAAAAAAAAAGATGTGGTTTTCACATATGATACGAAGACCTTCGCACTTATGCTGGAGAACTTAGCCCTGAGTGTTGATGCTGACTGGGAGATCTGTATCAGCTGAAAGAAGATGCAACTTCTTCAGAGAAACTGTCCATTGAGAGGCTGAGGAGAAATAAACTGAGAGGACTTCAGATGTTCACTTGATTCCAGTTAAATCAACAAACATGTTTTCCACCAACACATCCAAACTAACATTTCTTACAGTTTTTCTTTTAAAGCACCAGTTGCGACTTGGATAAATTTTCTGTTCAGCAAAAGTAATAGCACTAAGATTGTATCTTTGGGGAAATAAGCTAAGTACTATTTGCATTAGACTTGTTTCAGTTAAGCATTAAGCTTCAGTTCTGCCTTCACTTACAATAAATAATTATGAGTTGGTGGGGTGAGATTGTGGCTTGTTGGCACATGCCTTAATGTAAGTATTTGAAAATCACACTGTTCAGAGGCTGTTGCACTTGAGGAGATCTGGGCCAGTGCAACAAGCAGCATCAGCAGGTGTGGCAGACACAGAGGTTATCACCAGAGTTCTGCCTGCCAGCTGCCTTCTGAAAACAAACACAGAAGGAGCCACCCAGTGTGATCACAGACACTTCTGCTTTCCAGTCCTTATGGCAACGCAAAATTAGCTGGTCTGCGCGGGAAAGTAAACAGCAGGCTGGCCAAAGAGCTCAGGCACTGCAGGTGAGGGTTAGGTAGCTTGTGCCATTCGTTTGTGCAGTAACAGAAGACAGTAATGTGGTGGTGCAGAAGGCTCCCTAACAGCCAGCTTTGAAACTTGGATTTCAAAAGGGCACAGGTACTACTTAAAAAAAAAGTTTTCTGTTAGGAAAGAATTGGCACTGATGATTGAATGTCATTGATTAAAGGCAGCCCAGTGAAGAAGCTATGCTTTCCCAGATCTTCCAAGTCCTGCCAAGTTTTGGCTTCCTTTAGAAAAGTTTTAGTCATGTCAGTTTTTATTATCTGGCTGAGATTTGAGCTAGGCATTTATGAAGCAGAATTTAATTTTAATGGGATTAATTCTGTGTGCAGGCATCCCACTTTCTCTTAAAACTCAGCCTAATGTTCCCTTGCCTTTTTTTTCCCACTATCTCTGCAAACAGAACCGGTATGTTTTGATGCTTGCTTTGCTTGCAGAGACATCCTGAGTCTCACATCCATCACATCCTGCCTGTTCCCTCAGGCTTTTCCATCTTAGCACCTCTTTTCACAGGCTGCCATTGCTCCACAGAGTTTGTTTACCCTTCTATTTGCTAAACTTGTCAGCTATATTATTTTCAAACCAGTTCTGTTTTGAGTCCAGTCTGAACATGCCATTAGTTGGGTTTCTGGTTTTTCTGGATTTCTAGTTAATTTAATTTCTTTTCGTTAGATAAGGAAGTAGTTTCTAAAGACATCAGTAAATTAACTCATAGGAAACAGAGAAGGATGGTCACCATTTTTGCCAGCTAAAGGTAACATAACATTACTAATCCCCCCTGTCATTCCCACCTGCTGCTGTTTGTCCTCTGTAGGGCAGATTGCTGGGAACAGCAAGCATGAGAGCAAACTGTGAGTGCTCTTGACTACTCAAGTGTAGTTTGTTCCCACCAGACCCTTAGCTCCCTTCTTTTATATTCTGCAGAGCTATTTGTCAGCACCTTCCAGGAGACAGTGTGAGCCTCCACTCCAGGAACTGGCAGTGTGAATACTGTTGTGCTTAATGCAAATGTGCTAATCTGGGTAGAACAGCAGCAAACAGATCTTTTGCATCTGTGAAAAGAGAGACAGACCCTATTTTTCTATCAACTTCTAAGCTTTGATTGATGATTTCTTACTGTGTTTAAGTATAGCAGTGCTTCTGACAAGATACAGTTATTGTCTTGGGTAATTTAATAAAATATTTTAACTGCTATTTCTCAAATTGGAAAGTGAAATAAAGTGAAATGAAGCAAGTTACATGCCTTTTTCCTTCCAACCTTCTTTCTACTGCTAAGAATCACTAGTGAGTATTCTTCCAAGGGTACCTGGTGAATGTGAATGGCTTGCCTTTATTCTCTGGCCCTCAGTAAGATATCTGCACCATAGTAAGTACTCATGGGTCAGATTTTCAGTGGTATGAAGTTCCTAACATCTATGGATTTCAGTAGAAATTAGTTGCTGAAAATCTTAAGAGTTGGGTCTTCAGATCTGATAAATTTCAAAGAATATGATTTACATTGCTGTTTGTAGTAACTCACATACTTTTTCACATATTTATGCCATAAATGAAAAAATAAATTTTTAGTATATCTTTATAAAAAGTAATAGTTCTATTAGTGAAAACAACTGGAGAGAAAACTCCATACAAATTAAATAGCAATATTAACATTTAAGATTAATTCACTAATTCATTGTTACTGTTGAACAGGTCAGCTATTTGAGTACTTCTGCTTACAGGAAGTTCCATCACATACAGGATTTAATTCCTGAGTATTTGTTTTGCTGTTAGTATTAGACAGCACATCCATTGTCCTCTATGGAAAACTGTGTTTATTTAAAGGCACCATTTGTCTTTTATTAGCAGCTCCTGTAAAAAAAGACCAAAATCCTGCATAACAAACTCATCTTTCCAGTATGAAATAGGAAAAGGAGAAATTGTATTTTAAACAGGTGTAACTCCTGAACATGCCTAAAGAGCAGCATTGGTGTAGAAGTGAGAAGTGCATGTCCACCTGCCATTCCATATGCAGGCAGTGGCTGATCTGTTAGCTCTAGCAGTAGCAGCAGGTCATACCCTGGCACTTGCTGACAATCCCAATTAAAAAAAAAAAAAACCAAAACACTGCTAATCATTCCCATGATCCTCCCCAGCAGCCCACAAAGAGTTTCTCAAATGTCATACCCCTACAATTCTTCCAGAAACGCAGCTCTGTATGTAAGAGGTGCACTGAGCAAAAAGGGAGAATAGGAAAGAAAAAACACATGCACAGGCTGCAAAATGAGCACTTTGCTGAACTCTGCAGTGAAAGGCCCTTGTGTCTCAATATTTGCCTATCTTGGAAAGAGTGACACATGGCTCTGCCAAGCTGTCCTGCAATGTAATGTCAAGTATGAGACCTGCAATCCTAGCATCTAAATGTAAGGAGGAAGTCATCAATTCTGCATCTGAAGAACCTACCCTAAAGCAATTGCATTCCTATTTTCACAAATGCTTGAATCTGTCTTTTTCAATTGCCCTGTTGGTGCAAGAAGGCTTGTATTCATGATAAAAAGAAAAGGATTTAGGCCACCTAAATTGCCTAAAAGACTGATGATTAATATTCCTAGAGGTTAGTCAAGCTTGCCAACTTTATATTACCTCCTTTAAAAGTTTCTCCAGGGGAGTTTTCTTTAATGAGCTGTAGAGTTTGTCCACTATACTGTTGATTTTAAATGTGTAAACTGAGCAAATGGCTGAAGAAAAAAACCCATCAGGGCTTTGGAAAATGTCATAGCCCTAGGCCAGAAGGTCAGCAATGTATATGTTAGCCAGAAATGAGTATCATTAGGCAAAAATGATACTCATGTATCATAAAATAAAACTGATGTAAACCTGTGATTGAAGACTTCCCAATAACGAAAAACCAAGGTATTACTGTGCTTTTCTTGACATATAAATATTGTCACCTTTTAAGGAGCTGGGTTACAGAGAAAAGCAATATGTGTTTAGATTTTTGCTCACAGAGGCTGTGAATTTGTCTCTTATCCCACTGTTGTATGAAAAATACATGTGTAGAGTCAGATGTTTCCTTTAACTTTGGTATATCCTAACACATAGAGAATAGCCCAGTTTCCACACTAGGCTCTGTAAATGTTTCAAAGTTTACACAAAAAGTTGCTTATTTTATGGAAGTAAGGTATTATAAGGTGAATCTTAGGTTGCCACGCTGCTCTCCAGAGGACCCAAACAGAGCTGGCAAGTGACCTGACCTCAGTAGCATCAAATAGCTCCTTTTTCACTATTAGAAGTGTCTGCTGATCATCTCCTCTAGTAGCAAAAAATTGTCTCTATCTTTTCTGCCACAAAGGGTAGAAACAAGTCAAGTACAACAGTTCTTTCAGTAGTGTCAGGACCATTGCCTGGCTGTGCTTTGTACATAACGTTCCTACGCCAGCAGGAGTTTAGCTTCCAGTTTCACTGCTCCCTCTACTTAAGGAAAAGATGAACTGCTTGCACCAGGAGTCAGCCCACACACAGAGCCCGTTCCAGGAACATGCCTGGCCTCGGCACAAGCTGCAGAGAAGACTGACACCATCTCACTAATGCCCCCCCTCTCATTTTCCCTCTCTCTTTGCCTGTAGTTATTTTTAGATTTCACGGTTAAAGCTTGTCCCTTCTGGACACTTACACACACAGGACAGCACACATACACGCCGTAGATACAACTCAGATACGGGAGTGAGCCAACTGATCATCTTGTCCCACATCAAGCAACAAATTCCAATTTCTGATGACAAAATATCGTCCTTTAGGAGGATGCAAAGCCACATGGAATTTTCTGGCTCGCAAATTTGACTAGGAGGCTTTCAACGGACAGAGAAGACGGTTTGCACAGCAACTTCCTCTTTTCTGAAATTTCCTTCCATTTTGCAAGATCCTGCTGTCTTCCAGCATTTGCTTGCCTGACTCCCATGCCGACCGCCATAAATGCAGTGGTGGCTCAGCAAACGGCTGCTGGGTCAGTCCCCAGCAGCACTGCTGGCACTACGGAGGGGGCAGGAGGGGGCACAGGGGGAATTTATTCTGCCATTATAAGTCGCAACCAGCCCATTATCCACGTAAAGGAGAAGACATATGAAGAGCTTCACAAGAAGTGCCTGGAGAAAAACATTCTCTATGAAGATCCTGATTTCCCCCCAAATGAGTCGTCCCTTTTCTACAGCCAGAAAAGCCCTGTCAAGTTTGAATGGAAAAGACCACGTGTAAGTAACATGTTTGCTGATTGCCTTTTTCTGTAAATTCAAGTATACACCCTGAGCTTACTTTTTTGCAGAAATTGTGTGTTGGAGAGGCAGGTGGAATAAACTGGAAATATATTTCCTTAGAGCTCTCCTGGGCTCTAAAGATAACTAGCTAGGGCTGTGAAAGCTTAGACAATGTCTATATAATGACTAAAATACAATAAAACAGCAGCAACAAACGAGATGGAATGAAATGTTTAGAAGGAGATATGGGGAATTTCATTTTCTTTTTGCATGGTTTGCCTGGGATTTTCTTGTCTCAAAGTACAAAAGAAAAATTCTCCTCCTTCTGCAACAAGTTACTGGGTTTGCTGAGGCTTAATTTTTTTAACTACTTTGTTTCATTTAAACCTCTACTTCGGTATTCCGCCATTTTTCTCATGTGTGAAAATAAAAGGACGGGTTATGTTATCAAACAGCCTCTTAGTCACTTGTTCCCTGCATTGCTTGTCCCACTTACCATTAATGTGGGTATTCTAAGCATTTCTGTGGCAGGTTTTGGCCACCTCTTTTATATTTGCCATACTTCCCCTGTGCCCAAATCTGTGCTTCAGTGGCAAAGTCAGTGGTGATAGATAAAACTGACCACAGGAGTGTAACTGAATAGCAAAAGACCACGAGGTCTTGTGGGTGGCTCTTACAGACATGGAGGAAGGCCATGTGCTTCTGTCACAACAACTTGAGCAATGTGGAGGAATTGAAACAAGTCCCCCATCTGCTGTGCTGTGTGCACTTGTGCCCTGTCACTCCTTCATCATCACCACGGCTGCGTCAGCCTCTAGAAATGTGTGTGAATGACTTAAATGCAGCCCCAAGTCAGTCGTGTAAAGGAATAGGTTTTCCCTTTCTTCTCTTTCCCTGCAGAGGGAAGCAGTACAGCTGTACAGTGGATGAGTGCCAGCATCCTGCAGCAGACAGACGGCAAGTGTCATATTAGAAAGCATCAAAACAAAAGAAATTTACAATGTAACCTCAGACTTGTATGTAACTCTGCAGGCACAGATCAAACCTTTGCTACTGGAAAGGTTCAGACCAGGGTCTTAGTTCCAAAGACATTTCTTTAAGTCACTCATGAAAATGTAACTTTGGACTTACTATTCATGTAGCAGCCACAGGCTGGGGACCATGTAAGACTTAAAATACAAACTTCAAACCCAAATACTTAAAAGATAAACTTCAAAACCAAAGCTATCTGGGTTTTTTATTTACACAAACAGGAGTAATACTGGGCTAAAGAGTATATTACTAAGAGGTTAAAGCAATCATTGGAGCACCACATATAGTACATTGCACAGGCTGTGTTTTGTGATAGTCTGTAAAGATATGGACAATTTATGTTCCTGTTAAATTGCAATAGTTTTCCCACACACCCCCCACCCACCCACCCCCCCCTCCCCAAAGAAAGAAAATACTTTCGCTTATAAAATTTACTCTTATAAAGTGGTAATTTTAATAACTTTGAAATTCAGGTCAATAGTTGAATGAAACTTGATAATGTAGTCTAAAAGAAAAAAAATACCTCACAGTTCAGAATTCCTGAGAGAATGTCCTAATGTGACCAGTCTAGATCATTTCCCTGTGCCATTTTATGTGCCGCATACCTCCAGACACAGCAAATAAACAAGTGATCAGTGTGCTCTATGATCCCACTTAAAACAGAGGGCTGGGAAATACACAACGTATTCCTGACTCTCTGGCTTCCTGAATCACCTTAGTCACGTCACCTCATCAATTTGCATCAAAGCCCCTCTACCCAGAGGCCAGGTCCTCCTCTGACACCTCCCAAAATGCTTGTCCTCTGCGGCAGCGAGGGCAGCAAATGCACGAGGACTGGCCTTGTCCCTTACCCAGGGAAGGACAGGTGCTGTGCAGGGCAGCTGGCAGCCCTAGCATGGGGGCAGAAAAAAGGTATTTGTAATTCTACCCAGCTACTGACTGCCATGCCACGACTTGAATGCACAGAGAAGATCTCCTAATACTCAATTCAGACAAAAGCCAAGTGAGAGCCCTGAAAGTTCCCCTGAGGAAAGTCTGCAAGACCCAAGGATCCATTCTTCCAGTGTCTCTGTTCAGAGTATGCACACCATGGTTTAGATACATAGAGGGAAAATTAAATCCTCCTCTGTTAACACAAAATATTAAACTATTGGCTCACCCACAGCAGGTAAGAGAAGCCCAGAGAGCTGCTTACACCTACAATAGGTCACATCCAGCTCATTGACTGGCTGTGCCTCTCACAGCTATGCTGCCAGTGGGAATTTCTCGCAGCTGAGAGCAAGGATGAGGCTACTGATCTTTGAGAGCTGAGAAAGTCTGTGTTATAACATAACACAGAATATTGAGAGGTCCTGCTGCAGTCCTGTATGGATCTAGTGACACCAGGGTATTGATAGGAAGGCTCTGCTGTGACACTGTGCTTTCAAATGCACTATTGTATTCTCCTCACTCACAGCCAAGTCACAACATAACCACCACATTCAATGACTTCCCTATGATGATCCTCTCCATAGCCAGAAAATCACCAGGAAAAGCTTTTTTTCATAATGAATACAAATCAAATCAAGTCAACAAACTACTGGATTTTGCATGGAATGAAAATTAATCAGTCAGATCATCTACTGCACACATGTGAAGCTGTTTGAATTTAGTCATCACAAAATCTGTGCAGGTCATACCACAAAGCAAAGATGGAAGTTAGTGCTGCCAAGGCAGAACTTTCAGAAGAAGATAATTCAACTCAGAAGCTCTAAAAGCAGCTTGGTGTCTGACATTGAACTGTGCCTTGAAGTGCACAGCACAGACATTTAAAAGCATGGTCTAGACCACAAGAGACCAAGAGACAATGAGGCTACCAAAAAAAATTGTCTTAGGCTGAAAAAGATCCTTCCTCTGTTTGATAGGATCAGTTTAGGGAATTTACTTAGAATGTCATAGTTTATTAATGGCAGTTTTTAAAGGAATTAATGCCTTTTGCTGCAGCAGTATAAGCTGGCTGGCAGATTTCTTCCTGATAAGAAGAAAAGCCAATGAAAATGTAACAAAGGTCAAATGCCATTTTTAGTTGCATGCTGCCTCTGCATTTTCCAGGGCTCCCTTCCAACTGACTCGTAAGTAATCTCTTCCCAGAATGCAGCATGCACCACTACTAGGTTTCTCCTGGGATTCTTTGTTTTCTTTGCAATGAAGTTACAATCTGAATTGGATCAACCCAGTGCAACACAAAGCTCCTTTGGGTAGTACCAAGCCAGTCTGAGGCACTCAGATCAGAGGAGGCTCTTTTAAAAGATGAATCATTGCCTCAGTGAAGTGCAGCCTGTTGGGATTCTCTGTGATAACTTGACCTAAGAGATGAAGAGCAATCTCTTGCTCAGTCAGGAAGACTGGAAGGACAGACCTGCCACCTGGATCTTGACACCTGGATCTTGACACCTGGTCGTCTCGCTCTGCTGACTCAGTACCTCAGCCTTGATAGACCTTGATACCTTTCTCTGTAACTTCAGCTGTACTCAGCAAACTAGTGTAGCTGGAGATGAACTAAGGAAATACAAATTAAAATCATATCCACAGTGTGCTATACACACCTGGCCTGCATAAAGAAATGCAAGAAAAGCATTTCTGTCACAGCTAAACCAGGCCACATGACAATTGCATGATTCTTTCCTTTGCATTCCTTTACCAAGCATCCTACAAAACAAATGACCCCAAGATGCAATAAATGCCTCTGAGTAACACATTGCTGTACATTTAATATTTGGAAACAACGAGGTGGCACCTGTCTACTTTCAACTAAAGCACAGCATGCTGGATTTCAAAGCTAGTTACAATAGGAGCAAGATAGAGTCAAAATACAATAATAGAGTTGGAAAAAACACAAACCAAAAACCTTGCATGTCAGACTGGTTTTCAGCAGAGCATCACAGCAATATAAGGAAGAATATTTTCAAAAAGACAAGTGAGTGGAGAAAAGCATGAAGGCATCTCAAACATCTGTTTTGACAGAACAGGACCCCAACAGCTGACCAAGGCCCAAAATAACAGGACAATCCCACCATTCCTTCCCTCAAGGAAAGCAAAGTGCCTGCAGGGGTTGGTGGTGGAGAGGGTGGCAGAAGTTGGTCTCTCTGTCTGGCTATATGACTAATCCAAATACTTACATCAAAGCAACTCTTCAGATAACTGTGAAGTAGAAAAGAAGCGAGTTTAGCCAAGCAAACTGATGATATTAATAAGAAGTTTTAGACTATAGAGGTAGCATCAGCTGCCTGTGTATGCTGCCACACAAGCAATTGTCAATTGTTTGTTCTGTCTCCTTCCCACTCTTGTCCTAACATTTTTCAATAGACTGGGCTCTTCAGCTATACTTTGTCTTCTTCCCAATTTGCAGCTGCTCAGACGGTGCTCCTCAGGTTGCAATATCTTTCTTTCCTTACCCTCATAAGACAAGTGTCCAGAAGTTCTGTCTTCTTATTCTTCTCCATACCAAGTATTTGAGTATGACAAATGGGATAAAGCAGGGACATTTTTCACTCTGTAGGAGAGGTTATAGCCACTACTTTCCTTGGTTTTCCTCTGTCTGGTTTTCCACAGTCTTTGTTCATTACAGAAAAGGGCTATGTAAGCCTGCAATTGTCCCACCTCACTTGCTGCATTTTGCCTTCCCTCCCTGCAGAAATGTCTTTATTATTTATGCATGTATAGCATCTTGTACCCACTCTGTTGTAGTATACATACAGACAAACCCAATACATTGTGCAATGTGCAGAATGAAAGGAGACCTTTCTGTCCTTGGAGACAGATTATATCTGTACACATTTTTGAATGCAGCATTGTCAATTAAATACTAAAACATGAGGGAAAGAACAAAATCTCTTAACCAGCAACTGATTATTTCTTGTTATTAAACATCTGATCCTCTAATTTTAAGAAGGAGCAATGCTGGGGTTCATTCCCAATGAAACGCATTCTTCAACCCTTTCAATGCCCCAACATGCCAGTTACTACAAATTGGACATAAGATCATTTTAAAATAATTTAGTCTGGTCACCTGATGGTTTTTTCATCTACTTTTTCTCCTGCTCCCTCCAATGTTTTGTTTTTTCATAATTGCACAGAAAAAAATATTTTCCCCAATTCTTCTCCTTTCAGTGTGTTTTCACATTTCAGTATAGAGGGAGCACCCCAGGCCCAGTATTAGACCCTGCAGTTGCATGGAGAAAGCTCTGACTGGAGTCTGGAACATCCAGATTCAAAACATTTTCATAGTGAAACTCTGCAGATGACAACTGTGAGAGAGGTTTTGATACCACAAGCTACCCTATAGGAAAATGTTCTAAAACTGACTTTACTTCTGCACTAAACAGGCATCATTATGGACACTTTCTGCTCATCCATCTGTTTCTGTTTTGCAGGAAATCTGTGAGAATCCACGGTTTATTATTGGTGGAGCCAACAGAACAGATATCTGCCAAGGAGAATTAGGTATTAAATTTGTACTTCAATTGCAATTTTTAAAGTCTACATCATGGTTCATCTCTCCATTAATTTTCTTTCATTTCTAAGGTGATATCTGAAATCCTCTGTCTCAGTGATTCCTTTGCTCTGTAGCAAATTGTTGACATCTGCTTAGTAGCAATCTAGGCAAGAACTTTTAGTGAAAGATTCACATGCCACAGGGAATTCTTAATGCAGGTATCTGTGTTTATCAGATTTTAGGCTTTTTCCAAATTACATGGAATATCATCTATTTAGCCTGTGTGTACCCAGTCATGAACAATGCCCATGAGCATTTCTAGAGCACAAAAAGATAAAGTGCTAAAGTACTGCAAAACACAGACAATCATACTCCACTGAGAATTAACATGTCATTTGCAATATCTCAGGTTTTCCTTTTCTAGTTGTTCTCTCACTTCATTTTGTCTGCTGCTTCTGCTCATTTACAGGTAACTGCTGGTTTCTGGCTGCCATTGCTTGCCTGACACTGAATAAAAAACTACTCTGTAGAGTCATTCCTCATGACCAGTCCTTTATACAAAACTATGCTGGAATCTTTCACTTCCAGGTGAGTCGCTCCGTCTAGTGGTGAGCATATGCATTTACCCAAAGCTCAGCTCTTTGCATGTTCTTCTCTTTCCCGACCCTTTGGAATACAGAGTGACAGAAGGGAGGAAAAGGGATTGAATTGCCTCACCCCAAACTGTTCCATCAGGGCAGTCACAGCAGGGCCAGCCAATAAAAGCGATTAGGGAGCATTAACCCAGCAAGGAAGCATTTGCAGATTGCAGTGTCCTGGTGCAAGGAGTAGCAACAGGAGCCTGCTCCTGCCTCACTGCTCAGATGCAACACTGCAGCCAGACGGACACACGGGCACTTGGCAAGAGCAGCTGCTTTTAGGCACACAAATAGCTGGTCAAAACAAGTTCTTGAAGAACTTCTTATTCGGAAAAGATTGACTGCTTTCCGCATTTCCTTTGGTTCTCTTAAGGAGCTTTTTGCCCAGAGGAATTCAATACAGCTGCCTCCTTCACAGTAGCCATCAGTTTTGGCCACATTAGGAAGTGTATTTCCATATTTCCCCTCTCTCAGCCTGACTTTTCAGCCAAGTTTCCTCTCCCTGCACCAAGCCGATCCAGTTGTTGTTTTTTTTTTGGTTTTTTTCTGTTTGCCTTTGAGCAGTTCTGGCGCTATGGAGACTGGGTGGATGTCGTCATCGATGACTGCTTACCCACCTACAACAACCAGCTGGTCTTCACCAAGTCCTCCCAGCGCAACGAGTTCTGGAGCGCCCTCCTGGAAAAGGCCTATGCAAAGTAAAGCGAACGGCGGGGCTGTGCCGGGCTCCCCAGCGCCGCTCCCTCTGCTGGGGCGGTGCTTGCACCCTGCATACAGCGTTTAGAGGCACACAGAGAATATACCTGAATATACCAATGCCTTTTCCCGTGCCTTGGAGCCGGAGATGGGTTAAAGTGTATTTTCTAAGAAGTTTTGCTACCCATTCAGAAGTCTAAATTTGATTTTCAGCATATCTTTCTTTTTTTTTCCCCTATGTGTGCAGGTGGCATGTTTTAGAAGTTCTAAATTGTGAGTTACCAGACAGATGGGTTGTGGGGTTTTAGTATGTGTGCTTACAGAGCTGTAGTTATACACACAAGTTGGATATGAATACATAGGCAGGTATCTATACCTGTGTAAAATACCTCTTTTTATCTCTTTTCAAGACTCCATGGATCATATGAAGCTTTGAAGGGAGGAAACACCACTGAAGCCATGGAGGATTTCACTGGAGGAGTCACAGAGTTCTACGAGATAAAGGATGCCCCTAAAGATATCTATAAAATCATGAAACATGCCATTGACAGAGGATCCCTCATGGCCAGTTCCATTGATGTGAGTCCATATGAACTTTGCAGATAAGAAATGACAGAGGAGAGAGACCTCTCCATTCGTAACCAAATATATACCACCTTTGGAACTGCTTGGTTTGGGCCACATAAAAAACATCCATTTCTAGGAGATGGAGTAATCCTTCCTAGACACCAGCCATTAGCAAACAGTGAGTACCAAAAGGGAAATAAACAGAAGTAGAACATGGAGGTGGAAAGAACAGGTACAATCAGCAAAATCAGTACCCCTTCCCCCTCAAGACCCTAAGCCAATGAAATAGGTTAGTATGAGATGCTGCAACTCTGTTAAGACACAAATCTTCATGTCAAAGATCTTAAGTGTGCCGATTAACATCTTATTGTCCACATGGCTTCAGACTATCTTCACTTATTGTGGTGAAAAAAATTTAGAAAAAAGAAATTCAAAAGTTAAAAAATTAGTACTTTATGGAGTACCATATTTCAGTAAAGGTGGGAGAACAGTGCTATTGACCACTGTAGATAAGCATGGACATAATGAGGGAAAAGAGAAGTAATCTGGACTATCTTTTACCATTCATCTTCCTCCATGATACTTTTCTCCCATTCTCTGTGCCAGGATGACCTAGGCTTTTCTTATGGATCAGCTCCTCGGAGCAACATTGGGGAACTGATTGCTCGCATGGTGAAGAATCAAGAAAATGCGCAGATGACTCAGTCCACTGTAGACTACCAGGGCATTGAGGAGAGGCCAGCCTGGGTATGTCTTCTAAGCAGTTCACTTCAGAATGCTTTTATCTACAAACTGTTAGAAAAACATATAACCTATGTTTTTTAATCCTTCTTTGGTTTTGCAGAATAGCACTAATGAGATGTTCTTATGGATGCTGTTTGATGTGTATGTTGAAAGACTTAAATGCTTTCCAGCACAGTGACTGATACTAGGGGGCTTCACTGATACTGAGGCATTAAAGGGCTGTTGGCTTGTGACACAGGCTTATAATTTGCAGAACAAGAAATTTATTAGTGAATTTTATCAAGTCTCTTGCTTGAATAGGGTGGAGAGTATGAAAAAATTAAATACTAGAATAGAACAAGATAGAGGGATGTTAAAATCCTCTAAGAAAAAAATCCCATACTGGACAACTTAGAAGCTTTCAAATCTGTAGAGGGACACTTTGCTGCCTTCTCTGTGTCAGGCAGCTGTCATACCTTGCCCTTTAAGGAGCTGCATTTCCATGACAATAAAATCACATCTCTTGTTTTACAGGCGTGTAGGGAAGGGTGGAGAAAAACAAAACAAAACCAAAGAAAAATCCTCCACAATTACATCACTCAAAACTTTTGGTTGTGCAAACTTTCTTCTGCATTTGCAGCTGAAATAGCTGATTTTTTTTCTCTTCTGGCATCCATATTTAGCTCTTCCTAAAAGGCTGAAATGGTGTCATTCTTTGGGAAAGACCAGTATGACTATCTTGTTTTGCAAGCATGGCTGCCCAAACCTCCCATGTCTGGGGGGAGTATTTCCTCCTCAGTGACTGTCTGCTAAAAGAAGATTGCAAAACTCTTTCTACACTTGTTGCTCCAGCAGGTGTTGTGCTGCTGGTTATTACATATTCCTGAACCATCACCAGGGAAAAAAATCAGGGCTCTCAATGGAAAGAGGCAGATGAAACACTTCCAAAACCTGGACTTTGAGAAGTTGTCCAGGTCAGCAGAAGTTCATGTTCTTAAATAGAAAGAAGAGAAAAGGGTTCTAACAAGTGATAATGGCAACAACTAGAGAAGAAATGAAGAAAAAAGGAAATAGGTGTGAGGTTATAGTATGAAAACAGAATCAAGGGAAAAGAAACCAAATAGATGCTGAAGTGAAATAATGGAAAACAATTGCAACATCCAGGAAATATTTGGATGAGATCCTCCCTGTGCAAGCTGAGAACATTTCAGGACCCAGCCCTGCCTTTTTCATGCCATTAGATGTGTCAAGAAGGGGTGGCAGAGTTACTGACAGGACTTTGCAGGCATCTCTCAGCAACAGACATAAAGAAGGAGGAGAAGTTTTGCTCCTGGTCCACGTGCACGTGGCAGGGTCTACCCCTCTTACCAATACTGGAGATCTCTTGTACAAGAACAGCAGGCTGTGTGCATCTGCCATCCTGCTGCCAATTCCAGAGCTCACAGATACACAAGTAAAAATCCATCAGACACATTAAAAGCTGATGACTAAGACAGCAAATATATTTACACCTGAGCAACACAGCTATGCCCGTCCTGAAAGTTAGATGCAATAAGATAGTGTCAGTTAGCAGTCACAGTGTATTAAACAGGTTGTTTAAATGTCATTGTGATAAGATAGCAGCCATGTGGAAAGATGAAAGTATTCTAGGTGTTGATTTGCTTTAATTTTTAACAAGTTCACGTGTAGTAACCTTACAGAGCCATACAAGAACATACCATCCTAGAAAAGGCTGAACAGTCCTTCTAAAAGAAAAAACTAGTTATTTGATAAGCATGCTATATCCTGCCATGTTCCAAGTGCAAAAAGCAATAGTCTACACAAAAGGGGAAAAAAGGGGAAAAGACACCAGAAAATGTCCTTTCCAATTGATATTATCAACTTTTTCCATTTTTAGTTCATACTTCACTCCTTTCTAACTATCAGCATGAATTCTATGGGCGCTTAGCTTGACTGCTTTGACAAACACAAAGAGGAGAACAAGGCAAAAAATCCAGAGAGCCGAATGGTGTCTCCCTCCCTGTGAAAGCCCTGGGTGGCAGCACCTGCCCTCGAGCAAGCAGCTGAGCTTTTTGTGAGTCGCACGGGTGTTTCTCTCTGTCCGACAGACCATAATGCCGATGCAGTACGAGACACGGATGTCCTGCGGACTCGTCAAGGGGCACGCCTACTCCGTGACGGCCGTGGAAGAGGTACGTGCCCCGCTCCCCCCTCCAGCTGTGCGCAGCTGCAGCCGCTGCTGGCCTGGCCCTACGCACGGCAGCAAAGCCATGAGAGGCATGAAAAGCGAAACAAATTATGAGCCAAGGAAACAAAACTATATTCAAATAAGTCAAAGTCTTGTGGACAAAGAAACCTATCCAAGTTTTGGCTCCCTTGGGCAACACCCAGTTGGGCAAAGGTGGCCACATGCAGCCACCTCCTGGTCTTACAGCCTTCCCACAGCCACGCCAAGATCAGGCTGGGGTGTGGCCCAGAAAAGCACCATCACTGAAAGGTGTGGTGACAGGCTGAACATTTCCTTTTGAACCAACTCTCAGTCTATTCTTGTTGCCTTCTTTTTTCAATTAGACAGTATTTAAAGGGGAAAAAATACGTCTGGTAAGGCTGAGAAACCCCTGGGGCCAGGTGGAATGGAATGGAGCCTGGAGTGACAAGTGAGTAAAACAGAGCTTCACATGATTTGAAAAAGAAGTTGCAGCTTTATTTGCCTTTATGCAGCTTTTGCATAATCCTAATATTCAGTGATGAGGTGTCTCAATTGTCTTTGAATTTTGAAGTTCATTGAGTGCTTAGCTGAAGCTGTAAAAAAGAAAAGAACACCTAATAAGATGTTAAGAGAGGCTTTAATAAATGGAAATTAGGTTATGAAAGAAATTAATGAAGCAAGATGTCAGTGTTTTCCTTAAAGGAATTTCAATAGGTACACCAGCATTGATAGTCTGCAAACACCTTTTTCTTCAAGCTAAGTAAAATTAACACAGTTCAGCAGATGTTTGAGAGCTAATAAGAGGAATTCTAAGAGGAAGGCTGAGAGAAATAGAACAATTGCTTCTTTTGTTGGGCATATAGAGAAGAGAATAGCATTGAGAACAAGTTGTTGCAAGGCTTACAAAGGAAAAATTATGTGGAGAAAGAAAGATGACTCTTGATTTTTCACTCTATGAGCCGAAAGTGTAGAAACTTTAATGAAAACTGTATTGCAAAGCCTAAGCTAACTTGCTTACTCCTTTGAAGGTCAGAGGTGTGGGACTCTGTTAACGAAGAAGAGAAAATCCGCCTGCAGCACAAGGTTGTGGAGGATGGGGAGTTCTGGTGAGAGCCTCAGTTTCTCTAGCAAATATGCAATCATAGCAAAAATGAATGCCACCGCACTACTACCAATCTACTAAAACCATTGCAGTGATCTCTGCTCCCCTTCATATTCCGAATAAGCCCTGCTCTGTGATCCTCTCATTTTCCCACCAGAGATTATTCAGTGCCATCAGCACAGTCTTTCTAATTATGCTACACTTCCACAAGCTCTCCATCACCCTTCCTACTTACTGTCCTGTCAGCTCAGTTTCCCTGAGTTTGGAGCTGTACCTGTGGTAACTCACCAACCAGCAGACCAAGAGCATTTGGAAAACATGGCACTCCCATTGCAAACTTGTCCCAGTACTGACAGTGCTATTGGGCACCATCTTCCACCTCCCCAGGGTCTTTCAGACAACTGCCAACCATGGAAATGCATTTGGTTTCAATTTCCCCTCAATTCCTCCAGGATATCATTTCAAGATTTCATGAGGCACTTCACAAAGCTTGAGATCTGTAACCTCACACCTGATGCTCTGGAAGTGGATAAATTCCAGACCTGGACCGTGTCAGTTAATGAAGGACGCTGGGTGAGAGGCTGCTCAGCTGGAGGCTGCCGCAATTATCCAGGTGAGCAAAGGGTCTTTAGGAATACAGCCTCTTTGATGGGGACTAGGTTAGATCCCAAAGGCTAAGTCATACCACAACCTGGTTAGTGTTCAGCCATAGGAAAAGCCTTGCTTTCTCAGTGGACAAGGCATGAAATTGGTTGCTGGACATCTTCTGTCACTATGCTGTAACAAAACATGGTAAGCCCAAAAGGCAGCCCTGGCAAAGATAAATCATTGTTCAAGTACTTCACAGTGCCCCAAGTAAAAGGGATGAATTTCACCCTAACAGTTAGAATTCACTTGGAAATTCACTTTTGTGGATTAGGGATAGCTTTAGGGACTTAGGAGGTTTATCAGATGACAGTTCTCCATATATCCTCTTTTGCAATGCAGTTGTTAGAATTAAGTAACAGCCATAATATGTAAAAAAACCCCAAGTATATCTTAGCCCCTTTCCCTCAGGAGCCATAGGCAGGGAACGTAAAAGTTCTCTTTGATCATGAGCATCATTAGAAGACTGAAGCTTTACATGTTTTCTTTGGGTTGCTGATGGGATTTCACAGATACATTTTGGACCAATCCCCAGTATCGCTTGAAGCTTCTGGAGGAAGATGATGATCCTGAGGATGAAGAGGTTATCTGCAGCTTCCTTGTCGCACTCATGCAGAAAAACAGGAGGAAAGAGCGCAAGCTGGGAGCCAACCTCTACACCATTGGCTTTGCCATCTATGAGGTAACAGCTCTAGATTTTGTGGTCACAAATCCTGACAGTATGTATTTACCAAGAGAGTCGCTGAATCATTCAAGCTGATTACATCAATTGCAATTTTTGCTTTGCAAGGGAGTCAGAAAATCTGAAAGAGAGGAAGAAATTAAACTCTTCCTAGCTCCTCGTACAACAGCAATGTCAGGGTTTACCCATCTATTAAGTAAGACACTTTTTAGGTTTTTATAGTGACCTAATGCCAGATTTTAGTATATTCTTTCACATATATTTTTCAATCTCCCTTTTGTCCTTTCTGAAACTAAGCATTTCACTGGCAGAAGAGTGTGGAAAAGGAAACAGACATCCAAGGCTCACACATAGCAATTAACCTCTGTCCCTGCTATTGACTTGATGAAAAAGTCAATTTACTCAGTCCCTTGCACAAACATATTTGGTTCAGATTTTGGTTCATGATTTCATGTAGAAGTCAAGAAACTTAGAAAGGAAGAGGGAAAGTGCTTATCTGACTAAGGGCATTTTAATTACTATGTCCTCAGAACTTTAGTTGAATACCCTTCTGTGTGACCTATAAACATGTAGTCTCCCTTTGCAGCTCTGACTGTTTCTTCTCTCTGTTTCTCCCTAAGGTGCCCAAAGAGGTATGCGCAGAACGGAGCCAGATTGACATCTTGGTGTATACCCACAGCTAGTGTTACTGTAGTGCCTGGCAGTAACTCAGCAGGAGACTGTCCAGTCAAGTTTATTTTCAGGGATGTAACAGCAGTAGAACTGCTAACCTTTTTGCTTTGAGTGTTTATTAGTAATATTTTGTGAGTAATTTTTAGTTCCTTCTCACTCGCATCCCATTTTCAATTGGACCCTTTCATCAATGCTTCTTTTCTCTTCTGTGGTGGCCTGGCCATCACTTGCACAGTTGGTCAGAGATCCGGGAAGCAGTGCCTGTGAGGGCTTAGCCTCTGCACTCCATGCAGAACCACCCTAAGCCACTTGCATTTGCTCCTAAACGTAATACAAATGGCCTACATTCTGCAGTCACAGAGTTTTCTCTGTAGTCTTAGAATGGTTTAGAAAATTATGGTATTTTCAGACATTGAAGAAAGCTTATCAAAAGTACACAGATTACATTTTTTCTGAGTCTGACAGTAGCTGAATCATCGGCATCAGAAGTTTTGCTAACGAGCTCATCTGAAGGCTGTTACCTGGAAAACATAAGGATGACAGTCTGAATGTTGTCTTTGCCAACTATCTTACAGATGGTTATTTCTGCAAAAAACAGCCCGCAAGTGTGTTAAGTCCACAATTCTTGGCTTAATTTTCATATTTGAACTAATGCAATGTTTGATTATCACATTTGTTTAGAAGATACAGAATTCATGTTTTGTCTAGACAAGGACATGTTTATGCTGAAAGCACCTTCACTTTACCATTCTGCATGTAGGAGTTTGCTTACACTATTCCTTGCCGTGCACCCTCCAAGGAAAGTGGCTGAGCTTTGGTTACACACAACCCAGCATCTAGAAAAAGAGTGAGATACAAGTGCCTACACAGCAGAAGCCAGCCACACAATCTGCAGGTGGGCCCTGGAGCAGCCCTCAGAAGCCAACTAGACACAGTCAGTGGCAACTCAAAGGTGACAGACTCTGTACCTGCCACCAGCTACCACCAGTCCTCAGCTCCCTGCTTGCTAAGCTGCCCCTTCCTGTGTTTTCTGTCCCAGCCGTGCACTGCCTGCACGGCAACCCACCTGGGCAATGGGCAAGACTTCCTTGAAGACAAATGGACTCATTTGTTCTGCAGATGCATGGTACTAAGCACCACTTGCAGAAGGATTTTTTCCTCTACAATGCCTCCAAAGCTAGAAGTAAGACCTACATAAACATGCGAGAAATCTCTGAGCGCTTCCGGTTACCTCCCAGCGAGTACGTCATCATCCCATCGACATATGACCCCCACCAGGAGGGAGAATTCATCCTCAGGGTCTTCTCAGAGAAAAGAAGTCTTTCAGAGTAAGTTGCAGAGCCATTTATTTGGCCATATAGGTGGAGTGACGTCACTAGTCAGCTACAGTCATGCTATCAGTTTGCTACACCCTGCTTTTTATCTTGTTAACCTCATTAGAAACTCCAAGCTGCAAACTAATTTCCACAAGCTTACTTTATAGATTAACAAGAACCTGCTTTGAATTGTCCTTGGAGAAACTTGCTGCTTGCAGGATATCCTTTGCAAACTAACCATTAGGCATTTACTAAGGCCAAAGAACTTCTGTTTTACTTCTAGTTCGCTGTTATAAAGGCTCTTTACAGGAGTAGGCCAGGTGGAAGCTGTCCTGGAAAAGGTACTTGGGATGATCAGCTCAAACTGGGAAAAAGCTGCTCCTAAAGCCTGCAGCTGTAATGCTGGAAGCCAGCCCACGCCACGGGCTGCTTGAAAAGTTTGAGTGGCTGCTTAAAAACCACCTAAAGAAACAAGCAACTTTGGGAACAGTCACTTTCCTGATTTATTTATTTTTTGCTTTCTATTTAGGGAGGTTGAAAACATGATTGAGGCAGAACGTCCATTGGTAAGTACTGTCCTGGTCCTCTTTTGTGTACAGGAGTAGAGAGGAGAGGAACATGATACCTAGGGAAACCGACAGCAGGAAATCATTTGCAGCTACATGACAGAACCTTTACCAAATTCTCATCTTTTTTCTCATTAAGATACTTCTGCTGACACTTGATTTATATATGCTACTTTCTCAACTTGATTCACACCAAAACGCTTTTGCAGATTTGAAATCTGGTCTTCGCATAGAGAAGCTGGATGCTAAGCACTGATTTTGTCTCCATCAATGGAGATTATCCATTTACCAAGGGAGGCCTAGCTCTGTGCCCTGAGATACTTTCTTTGTGAAATTCGTGTCTCATCTAATAAAGAAAAAACTACCTTATTTTGAAGTACCTGCTTTCTGAAAAGGGATCCTAAGAGCACTCTGATTCAAAATAACATCCAAGGCAAATTCTAACTCTTCCCTCTGGAGATTTTTACACATCTTTGTGGAAATATACTATAGCAAACAATACAATAAGTATTGAAAAAAAAAAATCAGAGCAAATGCTGTTGCACAGAATTGAGCACCATCAAAATTTGCTCAGAAATGTTCCCCTTCTGTTTGCTGTCATAGTGAAAAACAACTGTCCAGATGTGAGGGAATTAAATTGTCACTTCAGATATCGTTGATCTATGGGCATAGAAATTCAATCTCCCTGACACTAGCAGGTTGGGAAAACGAAAAGGAATACCCAGAACTAAAGAGATTTTATTCAAGCAGACAAAGCCCCAGATGAGATGAGACACAGTTTTATTATGGTTTCAGCAATGTGTTTCCTTCAGTATGCCATTTCTTGGTGGGTGCATGTTCCCTCATTTTTAGTGATTTGAAAGCTCTATAAATATAGGAAATGGGAAAAACTGTATGAGTATAGGAACTGGAAAAATAAACATGAGAAAGGGGGGAAAAAAGTTTGCCTTCAGTGCTGCATAATCTGATCAAGCACTTTTTAATTTTGTCTCTTCACACAGAAGAAAAAGGGCAAGGTAGGTACCTGTGCAATGTGCTAAGTGCCAGCAAGGCAAAAAGCATGTGCAATGCATGAGCAGGGACAGAGTTCCCTGCTATTATCATTTTCTCTGTCTGGAAACTGACCTGGTTAATGAAGGGCGCTGGATACGAGGCCATCTGCATGCAACAAAGATTTTGTCTTCCTACTTGAGATTCTAATGAAACAGCATTAGCATCATATACCCCCCTCACTCAAAGGGGGGGTGAAAGGGTAACAAACTATTCAGCTCAGTCCTCTGGGTTGCTCAAACTGTTCCTCCTCCCTGCCCCTCCAGAGGCAACCTGACACCCCTTGCTACTGAAAAGCACCCCTTCTCCAGACATGTGCCCTCACACTTGCTCTCCACCAGCTAGTGCAGCGGCCATTCCTCTTTCCTGAAGTTTCTGCTCACCAAAGTCTTGCATTCTATTTTTGATTTGACACAACACATTTTGGACCTTGAAAATGTAAGCAGATATTTTAATCCCAAGAGAGGCTGATTGTGATTAATACTCTAGAGTAACACATTCATATCATGTAGCAGTTTTTTCCTTGTTTCAAATGCACCAAAGCAGAACAATTGCAAATGGCTGCTTACTGCTGAGTGCTTCAAGAGTCACCACAGATAAAGAACATATGCTTCACATAACTAACAAACTCCTACACAAATAACTCCTTTTCTGGGTACTATGTACATTTGGTTTGTTTTCTGTGCTACTGTCCTTGAGGGGCAAGTTCATCAGTTTGTGAGATAAGACTCTGGGAGACTTATTTTGCTTACAAACAAGGGGAAGAACCCCACAAAAACAAAAACAAAAACAAAAACAAAAAAAACACCAAACAAACCAAAAAACCCCCCAAAAACCCAAACCCAAAAACCAACTAAAACACCAAAACCAAAAGAAAACCACACAAAGAAACCCCAAACAAAAACAACAAACCAAACAGATTCAATAACTGTCTTTCAAGAGCAGGAGTTGTTGCTGCATGTATTTCCACAGAATGCTTGTAACCAAATATTTTCCTTTCCACTATTTCTCCTGTAATTTCCACCTCTCTTTTGCTCTCTTCTTCTTCTTCTAGCCTATCATCTTCGTTTCTGACAGAGCAAACAGCAATAAGGAGCTGACAGCAGATGAAAATGCTGGCAAAGATGGTGAAAAAACCCAAGCAGATAAGAAAAAGGTTTCTGCAGCAAGGGGCAGAGGGGGAGAATAGGGCTTGGTCTGGCTAGCATGAAAGAGTGGCTGAGGAGAACACAAGAATGGGGCAGAGGTGTCCTGAGATACTAAACAGCTTCTCTTCAAATCTTTACATGACTCTCATCTGGTTTATGTGGATCTAATGAGCACGAGCACAGAGAGACTGTCCCTTCAGCAATTTAACAGCTCTACAGGAGGATTGAGTTGCTTGAAAAATCTCCTGGTTGCTCTCTCACACAAGAATCCTGGTTGTGAGAGATTCCTTTCCCACATTCAGCTCAGCCCCGCTCGGCCCCCTGAGGTGGTACTGCTTTAGAAGGGCGCATGCACAAACTGCACCCAAGGGGCTGCAGAAGCTCCTGGCAATGACCACAGCCTCTTCTGCTACAAACACACACCTCTGTCCTAGTCCTTGTTGGTCAGAGGATAAAGGACAGGTAAACCCAGGAGCTCCAGCACCCCTCTCTTGTCCCTCGCTACCAGGGAGGAGGAAAACAGAGTAGCAAATTCAGAATTTCTTCCTGCAGGTGGGTGAGACACAACACATCTAACAGCCAGATCCCACATCCAGGCTTGTGGCATCTGGGGGCATGGCTGGAGCATCTGCTTACAAGGAGGGTGCTGCATGACTGCTAGAGCATGCAGGGGGTGAAGTGAAAACCAATCTAAACTTTCCTCTGCATTTAGACAAAGGAAAGCAAGAAATAAGCCAAGAAATCCACTTTGTTACCTATAGCTTTCATTTCCCTTTTCAGTATCAGCTTCAGAGTTCAGGGTTGCATTTTCCATGTGACTGAGAAAGCCTCATGTTCCTTGTTTTCCTCTGTCTCATATGCTATTTATCTTCAGCAAGGGCCCCTGCCCCTCATCATAAAGAGCTCTCACATGGTCATGTATTGCCTATAGAGCAGCTGTGAGGCAGATACTGTGTCCCTGCCCATGGCAGGGGGGCTTGAACAAGATAATCTTTAAGGTCTCTTTCAATCAAAACCATTCTTTGAATCTCCGATAAGCCTCTTCTGCTCCAAACTTCTCTTTGGCAATATTTTGGAACAAAAATTTAGAAGATAACTACTAGTGTTATTTAGGCTCCTTCAAATAGAAGAGAAAACAATGGGATGAAGTTAAATACTTGGCAGTTTTAAGGAAGAGAATTAACAAAAACATAGGGAAAGAAGTGGGAGGACAACCCGTTCCTCCAAAGGCCTCCAGATTCACTAAGATGATCCCTCATACAAGGGTAAATGAGCCATCCAGGCCCTTTTTCTTTTCCACTGGGCTCAGGATGTATCTCTTCTTTGCTTGCCTCTTTTCAGCATTCTTCAACAAAAGGTCATGAGGAGAGTGAAGAGCAAAAACAGTTCAGGAACATTTTCCGACAGATTGCAGGGGATGTGAGTATGCAATCAATCCCTGTCTCTGCCCTCAAAGCAGCCTGGCCACAACAGCCCCTAAATCAACTATTCCATAGATAAAAAACATTGAATATCAAAATTTCCTTTGCATTTCCTCCCATCAAATTCTCTTTGTGGTTTTGAGATAAGTAAAATCAAATAAGAACCCCATTAAGTACGCAGCTATCCTCATATGTATGTATAAACTATTCTCACTGTGGCTGAGGGAGTCTTATTAAATCCAGCTTTTTTTCTCCTATCTCCTACAAGAAGCTGTTTTGCACAGCAAATATAAACAAGTTAGAAATGAATGCCCTCTGGTATATGCTTAACAAGGGAAGTTAAAGATAAAAACAGATCAAAGAACTGCATAAATCAAATGGCTGCATATGGGATACAGGAATTTTCTGATTTTACTATTTTACTTATAGACTGGCTTGAAACTACCAGTCATTCTTCTAGTTGTAGTTTAATGAGCACTGTATGGTAACTTCAGGTCTACCTTGTACCTAAGCCTCAGGAAAGGGCTGGACTAATGTTCACATGAAGTAGAATGCCCTCTGGTTTAAAACATGTATGTGTCTAATTGGAAAGTGACCAAAGTCTTATAGCATATTCAGCCATAAAATTGTTTTTCATAAAGAATTCTTTAACTAATGATATTCTCACCACATTTCCAACAGGACATGGAGATCAATGCTGAGGAACTTAGGAATGTTCTCAATAATGTCGTAAAAAAACGTGAGTTTGAGCATGTTTTTTACTAACCCTGGACAAAGAAATCTGTGACAGAGCACAACTCCCCTCCCCGAATTTCTAAAAATTATTGATGTTTTCAAACTCAGAAATTTCCTAGTTACATTTCCATGGACAATGCATCTGAGACTTTCACAAGCTGAACTTTTCACAGAGATTATCTCTACAGGTTGTTAGTACTGATAATGTAGAAATGAGCAGATGCATTCATTGGAATTACCACTGGGACAATAATGCAATTCTCACAGTCTGCAAATGCCCTTTAAAAAATTTCTAGTGGAGAGGCAAACATTTCTCCCTGTTTAGCAAACTTTAACCAACAGACCCTGGACTTTCTTAGTAATTTAGGAATTAGTTTAGAGTTTTTCAGAGTTTTTTATTGTATGTAACAAATCAAGAAAAATAAATCTAATTCACAGGCAGTAACATTACTGAGAGTCTTTTCAGATTTCTCTACCACTCATTTCTTACTGGACAAAGGAAGTAGGTTTGGCTTTTACTTTGATTAGAGTTACACTTGAGAGGAAAATAATTTGCTGATTTGCATGATTTGTATTCACCTGGGACCATTTGTTTCAGATAAGGACCTAAGGTCAGAAGGGTTTGAATTGGAATCCTGCCGCAGCATGATTGCTTTAATGGATGTATCCTTTCCTGGTGAAAAGGGACTGCTTGAAACCACTTGAGTTCACCACTTCTCACCACCATACCACTTAGTAAGCCAGGGAAACAAAACAGCAAATTGTATTCTGTGGTCAAATAAAAAAGCACTCCTGGTTTGGCACATCTTAATTCCAGTCATCTCAATGTTAATATAATTAGCAGAGAAAGATGTCCCCAAAAAGAAAACTACAGAATAAATCAGTCAGTATGACATTCTTCTTTAGGTATCAGACATTGGCCACATTAGGTACTAAAGCATGATTTTTTCAATATTATATTTGAAATAAAGTCAACATAACTATAGATCTTGCCAAGAAATTTACTATATTTATCTCTTTAAGTTTGTACTGTAGCACATATTCTACTGGACTCACCTTGCAATGCAGGCAGAGCTTGTCTGGAACAAGTGCAATAAAACACACTATAAGATGCCATGTGGTTACCTCTGCTACAACCACCCTAGGCTTTCCAGTTTGAGATAACACAATTTTCAGAGAATGTAAGTGCATTCAAATATAACAGAACAAAAGTGTAACTACAACCCACAGCCATAATGGTTGGAGCCTAAACACATTTTTGAGAAGAGCTTTAGTCAACATTTTGCTTATTTCTTAATTCATTTTAAGCAAGGCAGAAAGAGATCCATGCTAGAGTAAAGCTCAGTTGTCTTAAAAAGCATTAGGTGAGCTTCACATTTGGAGGTATTTCAGAGGATCCCACTAAAGCATCCTACTCATGCACTTTTAGAATAATTCCAGAGGCAAAGCTGTGTCCTGTACGAGAAGTTTGCTTCTACACAAAGTAGAAATAGTACTTCACACTCCTGAAGCACCATGTTATACACAAAAACCAAAACGTTTACAAATGTTTTACTGCAAAGGTGAATCAACTCTTTATGCTGAGGAGATCTCCAACCCAGTTTTACATTCATCATTTTACCAGTAATTGCAGACTTAATTAATTTTATCCTAAAAGCATTGTGGGTTTTTTACCTGAATGTTTTCATCACAGACAGATGGCTCAGGGAAGATAAACTTTGATGAATTTCGACATCTCTGGGACAAGATTAAAAGCTGGCAGGTATTGCTGATATCTTCACAGCTCCTCTTCACAGCTTCTGCAGTGCAAGTGTTCTACAGAAAAACTAGAACTCTCCACATATGTTCCATCAAGAAGAAAAGCTAAAAAATAATTGTGAATTAGCTTCAAAAATGAAAAGTAATGTCTCTCCTCATCCTACTTCACAGCCTAAGCAAATAGCCTGAATATCCCATGTACAGCCTTGCCCCATGAGAGTAGCACAGAGGCATACAAATTAAAGGAGGAGAATGATGGGAACTAGAATCAGGCCTCAATAATAGCTTAATTAGGGCAATCAAGAGGGAGGATTACCAGCATAAGCTCAAGTCAAACAAGGAGAGTCTCAAGGGGAGAGTTTTTTTTCTTCCCAGAAATTGGATATAAATTATTTTGCTTTGCAACTGAGAGGAAACAGTTATTATATATATTGCTAGCAATGGCAATATAAGGCACATGGCAAAGCCTCCAAGTGCCTGAGGCACACACCCCACATCCACTCAGAGAGTGCATTCAAGAGCAGTACAAGTTTTTATTACTGTTTTCTGTGGGTTCTTTTTCCAGAAAATTTTCAAGCGCTATGACACAGATCATTCAGGAACCATTAACAGCTACGAGATGCGCAACGCAGTCAACGATGCAGGTACTGTCCCTTGTGCAGCGCCCACAGCTCAAGAAACTTGGTTTTGTTTTGGTGCATCACAGGGTGAGATCACTGAACACTGTGCTGCCTTTTAAAGACAGATCGTAGAGAAACTAGCAAATATTTTTTTCCCCCAACAGAGCTTCTCAAATATCCAAATGGCAAGACTTGTATATCTTGCCAGCCAAATAGATCTCTTCAGCTCCTCTTTAATCCAGTGAGTGATGCTTTGCTGCCTTAAGGATGTCCTACTCAGGGTGCTGCTATTCAGGGAGACCAGGGAGTGCTGAAGGCATTTACTCTCACTTAAGCTCTGGATTCTATACATTTGTCTAAGTAAAAACACAGAACAGTGGAAAACCTTCAACCTAAGTGTACAGGCCCTGAAACTGGGATGGAGCAGGTCTATGTCCAAGTGTGCATTACAGGCAATTGGGTGGGCATTTCTTAAGTCATGTTAATGTTTCTTCCATACTGAGCCACTGTGGGGTCAGTCTCTTCTATCTGCACAATGATAAGAAAGTATTTTTGCAAAACTGCAGTTAATGAAATTCATTCTGATAAGAGGGACTTTGGACTTTTCCTGCTTGTCTCAGACACACCAGTATGCTTCTTCCCCTGGGGAGCAGGCCTCTCCCCACAAAAGGTCTCTAAGGGAGTGAGACAACCACTTTGATCAGAGAATCTGTAGTATCACTATTCAACTAGTTGGGATGATTTCAGTGACACCTTTTTTTCAGTAGTATTTTGGCAGGTCAAGGAACAGAAACAAATGGCTACCTGGTACTTTACAAAACCTCAGTGATTCTGGAGTCCTTTGCTGAAGACAAAACTACACCTAGATCTGGACTCCTGCTGTGGTAGAAATATGGGTCATTTTTATTTTTCAGGTTTCTGTTCTCACCAGGGAAGTTGTCACTGTAAAAAGAGAAAATACTTAAATACCTCCTGCCCTGACTTGAGAACTGAGAACATTTCAGAGCCTTACAGCACATAAGCTGTGCATGACCTTGCATTTAGCCAACAAACAGCTGTACCTAAACCGTGACAGACCTTTTCAAGGCACAGCACAGGCTGAAGCATTCAGTGCCAAAGTTCAGTCCTACCACACCAAGAAGTTGCCTCCTTGTCTATTTTCTGACCACTGCTTAATTGTGTTTTTATAGCAACTTCCTCTTGCATTTCTGTTGCCAGCTTTAGCTGATTTGCTTTCAGCAGGCCCAGCTGAGCCATCAGGCCTTCTGGGGCTACAGCTCTCCTCTTCACACTTACAGCCTGAGGTAACTCATGTGCTAAGGGCCCTCTCACAGCATTGCTCCTGGCTCGGGAAGGCAGCTGGACACACTGAAGCTCCTTACAGTTTCACTTGATTTTGTTTAGCAGTTGCAGCAGGACGCTCCAGCCCAGGCCTCAGCTGGGCCAGGGGAGCGCCTGTGGCCCCCCCCTCATGGAGCAGCGCCTTCCCCACCCGAGGCCCACCTGTGCCCCTTTTTGCTTCCCTGCAGGGTTTCGGCTGAACAACCAGCTCTACGACATCATCACCATGCGCTACGCCGACAAGAACATGAACATTGATTTTGACAGCTTCATCTGCTGCTTCGTGCGCCTGGACGCCATGTTCCGTGAGTGGCTACTCCGCTCCCAGGGCACTGCCTCCCCTCCTGCCCCCAGACACAGCCCTGGATCCGTGGAATGTGCTGGGTTGAAAAGGATCTCAAGGATGATCTGGTTCCAACTCCCCTGCTGTGAGCAGGGACACCTTGCACTGGACCAGATTGCTCAGAGCCCCATCATACAGCAAAGTTTGTTCACAGCACTACTGCCTCTATGTAGGGTGTTAATTATTACAGACATGTTCTTAGGGAATCTAAGATGACAAGTTGTCTCACACAAACACAGAAGAAATCACTTTGTTTCTCCTTGAATTGACTAAGGAAAAACACAGCAGAAAGTGACCCCACAAGTGAAGACCTGTGCAAGTTGGCATTTCACAATGGGAGCGCTGTTTGATTTCCTGTCTGGGAATCATCTTTACTCACACAGTAACCTAATCTACCCCCCATATTTTCGTTTCCTTACTTTAGGGGCATTCCACGCCTTTGACAAAGATGGAGATGGCATCATTAAGCTCAATGTCCTGGAGGTAAGCTGCTTTATGAGAGTATGTCTAACACAACGTCCCAATACTAAATTTTAATTGTATTAATCATTGCACATGTTTTCAAGGGAGAATTCTATGAATAGAGAAATTGCTACCCAATTGGTAAGAAACCCCAAAACCTCCTAAAATTTTGCTACCAATTTTACATGGAAAACATCCATGATCTGCCAACAACAGTTGCTCTGTAAGACTCCAGTTGGTGCTGACGGGCATGGCTGCAGTCTCTTCATATCATCTTTAAAGTCAATAAAAATTTTTTGAGATTTTTTTTTATGAGGCAATTAAGATCAAACACAGTGATATGGTATTAAATGATAATGGGGCTTAGCATAGTTCTTTACCTTTAAAAAGATCTTGTTAAGAAGAATTAGAAAGTTTCAACTTCATGTCCTCTGTTAGGGAGGACATTAAAAACACCCATCACTTTTTGCAAGGGAAGGAGAAATAGGAGTAGGAGCAAGAGACTCAAGAAAATTCCCCACTGCCACTCCATGCTAAGTGACAGCAAGCAGCTGCCTTCCAGCTAGAGATGGTGGTGTCTTCACACAATTTGTGGGAGGACACCAACAACTCATCCATCCTTTAACTCTTCTTTCAGTGGCTGCAGCTCACACTGTATGCGTAACACCAGAGCCAGTGGCCACCTCTATCAAGATCACACTGAAGATTCCAAGGACTAGCACCATTCATCCCAATGGCAATTGCTAATCATGTCATTCACTCCTCAAGACGAACAGCACATGGGAAGAAGCCCTTGGAAAAAGAGAGAACCACACTGTAGTGGACAGCACAGTACGCATATTTCGTAACTACTTTTATAATATCCTGACATTTTTCCTTTGGGCAACAAAGATTAATTTATTAATGACTGAATTAAGCTTTCTCTGCATGGTGAAGACATGGAGAATACAAAATTGTTCTGCTTGTGCTGACAACTGGAAAGGTCTTCCCTCAAGTGAGATGAAACTGGGGCTGTATCTAACTGTGAAAGTCAAAGGTGTTTACTGCTACCTTGTAATTGGTCATTAACTCTTTGTCCTGCTCTTGGTATTATCCTTTCATCTCTTTGTAATGTTTACTGAATAATTCACATGAGATTGTGCTAACTGCATTAATATTATGCAACCCAATGACTCAGTTACAGATTTGGCTGTGCAGGTTGGATCTCTGCTATGTAGAAATGGGAGAGCAGGGCATAACAGACTGCAATACCAGAGTACAGCTTGATGTAACGCCTCAGCAGAAGTACCAGAACTGAGCAATTGGCTCTCATTATTAGTACTTATCCTGATTACAGATGTGGACATCGTAAATGTTTTTCATTGTAACCGCATTCCCCATAATATTGAGAAACTTATTTGCCATTTGAGGCAGACAACCTCTTATACATACAAATTTATTTATCTACACACATGTATTTCCCCTGCTGCAGGTCCTATTTCCCAACACTAGCATGTATTTCTTTATTGCAAGAGGGGACTTGTAGGAGAATATATGTCAGCATGACCACTTTGGGAATATTATTCCAATTGGCAAGTACAATTAGTTTAATGGAATCAAAAATAAAACCAACTGGATTTTGGCCTAGGCTTTTTGGTCTCATTCTGTAAGAACAGATGAAGATGAAATATTGAGCACTCTTCCATCATTCTCCTGAATATAGAGCAGTTTTTGGAGTTTATGGCAAGTGTGAAATTAGCTTAATATCTCAAATATTTGCCTGTTTACTCCTTGAATACATTAAAAAAGAAAAAAGAAAGCACTTGAGAGGTTCCCTTGCTACCAGCTTAAGGATAACAGGTACAATATAAAAAATGGAAGGGCAAACAAAACATGCAAGGAAGACCCGACTTTGTCAGGAGAACCTTTTACTTTGTTGTCTAGTGGCAAAAAGTAGCAACGCAATCCACTAATGTAAAGTAAAAATTAAAAACCAAATTCTAGCATCCACTGAAAGTTACTCCAGTGAGTAGTACATTAACTGAAAGGTCACTAAGAACCAGAAAACCTTTTGACTATAAAGTTCTTAGTGTTGTCTTGCACTGTAACTTACTCTGAGAGAGGAAGAAAATCCTATAATTTATCTAAAGAAAAGTTATTCTCCTTCTTTATTCAACTGTTTTTTAACCCAAATAAATTTTAGGATGACTGGAACACCTGGAGCCCTGGCTTCCAGCCATGCCTTACCTCCACAAAGCTTTTATTTTCCACACAAGTAGTGCAGAGATGCTCTTGGCTGGGATCTTCAGAGACAAAACAAAATCTATCAGTCAAAAGATCAAAATCAGGATTTTTAATTGGCAACTCAAAACTGGTCCTTATAGTACTGATAAGTGAACTACCAACAAGCTCTACAGAACTTCCCTTGCAATGGGCCATGAAGCAAGACAGGCAGCGCATCAGCTTGGAGGCATCAGTTGGATGGACAGGTTCATTTCTTTGCCAAACGACTGGGTCTGAGGTTTTCTGCACACCTGTAACATTCCTGCCAGTGCTGGAGCTTCAAAGTGGCCTGTCTGACTTTATCCAGCACTCACAGAATGGGAAAAAATCCAGAACAAAGTCAAGTTCTACCAAATCGTATGAAAATCATTCTGTTTAAAACAAAGGAGAAACAGACAAACTGTAACAATATAAAGAAGTTTATTTTTTTTATTTCTTCTTTTGTCATGTAAAGTTTCATTATTACACTCACAGCTTTGTACCAAACTGAGAGAAGAAAACAATGATCAGTCTGTGCACATGTTCTACACAGCTTAAATTACTAAATATTCAATCAAGTTATTTTATTCCACTTCCATTCTCCCAAAAGACTGTTTAACATTACAGCAAAATGAAATCTGAGAAGCTGGCAGGCACATAGAATATATACCTACACAGTTTGCTCCTTGATGATTAATAATTTTACAAACACTAGCTGAAACAATTTCCTTATCCTTCCTCACATATTCTGCAACTCTGGACAACTTAGACTGCTTGAATTATAGTACCATACAAACCCGAAAACAAAGATTCACCTGTACCTGTGTTTTAATTCAGCTGAAGGGAAAAGTATTTTTCCAACAAAAACATTTCCCCTGCCATTAATTGCAGTTTGCAGTTATCATTTACCTTGATCCAGCTGATTGTACTGTTTGAAAATGTGCATTAAGAACTGCACTACTTCAAACACTCCACACAGCCAAGCTCCTGCTATTTTGCAGAAGCCAGCTTATGTGCTGATAATATGTTTAAAGTCTGTAATTTACATGTAAGTGGCACAATGTAAGCAGAAGCCTGGATATTTAATGCATCTTTGTACCCAGAGATGCAGAAGTTTTCCCTCCATCCCTTCCACATACAGAAGCAGCAGCAGCAGCATTAGGCCAGAGTGTTTAGCACTGCCAGACATCTGTTATTTATCTCTGAAATTTGAAGGAGAAAGGAGAAACTAATCTAGACTAATCCCAAAAGGGCTGTATGTAATTAGCCATACAGCAAGTACAGAACTTGTTTTTAAACACCTGACTAATAAAAAAATCCACAGCTAACCACAAAATAAATCCTCACTCTACTCACTCTTCCACTCACAACTTTTTACTTGCATAAAAAACCAAACCAAAATCAAAAATAAATAGTCTTGAAAGTGGCTTCAGATGTGCAGTACTGCTTTTCATGCAAATATTACTGTGTTAAATGTCACAAACAGCCCACCTTCCCAAAGCTACTACATTCTTCAACTAGAAGTATATCAGGAGTCAAAACCCTAAGTTGCAAGTCCATAGAGGATCTTTAATGAACACCAACAAACAAACATTAGTTTGGCACCTGCAATTGCCTCCAGAAGAAGTAAATGGCCAGTTGTGAAATCTGCACCAAATTCCAGCTGAACAAATAGGAAACCTCTCCACAGAACTCCAGAGAAGCTGGGGGATTTCCATAACTGCACAACTTTATAGCAATTCCTTTTAAGATATCCTCATGACAAAACAGTACAGCATTTTTCTCTGAACCTCTGAGGATTTTAAAAAAATGTTTCTGATTTATGAAGCAAAATTTTTCACTCATGCAGCTCTACTATTTTCCCACCTCTTTCCCATTTTAGGATTCTTACAATGTATCTGAAATGACCAACAAAGTAGCAAAAGATACCTCTGCCAAAGCTGGACTTCAGAAGCCCAGACTTTTCAGGAGGACTGTTTTCAAGACAGTTAAGGAAATATCATGGACCACATACAAAAAAAAAAAGACTGCTTCCACCAACTAGAAAAGATAAACCCAACAAGCAAATGGGAATGCAAATAAAGTGTAATAACTCTCTTGCACCATCTAGGGAAAAAGATCTTTATATGTTCCTGAAAACAGCTGAAAGAATCACAAGAGAGAAGTAACAAAATCTATTCTCACACACATTTTTCAGAATGCCACTACTGCCCCACAGGCTTGTCCTCCAGACACTGCTCCACACCTTCACTTGCAGCACAGCCCACGAAGGACACACCTTAGGACACCCACCCTGTTTATGTCACACTTACACGCTCTCTGATTGTGGTTCAAAAAACTCCCAGAAGAACTCCTGAATATCAACATCTTTGGAAATGGTTTAAGAATTATGCAGTCTTCTGCTTTTAGGCCACGAAAAAACCCAAACAAATGCTCTCAGACTTCAGAGCATTACACTGTCCCTCATAAAACAACTACACCACTTAAAGACTTCCCCAAACTTGATTCTCTATTGAATTGCTTCATCCACAGCCCATAGAAAGAAAGATTAAAAAAGCCCAACCCCAAAACCACAAACACACATCCACAAAAACCAAAACAACACCATCCTCAGAACAGCCTGAGGTCTGGGCCACATATTGGGGCTTTTTGCTATGCACAAACAGCTTAATAAAAAGTAAACAAACAAAATCAAACACCACAAAAGCACTGGAATCTCAGAGATTCCCATGTCTTTGACAGAAGATGCTATTGCATCTCATTCATATTTTACTCCTGTCTCACAAAAAATATTCATCAGTGTAAGAGCAATTCTGCTTGTCTGGTAAGCTAATACAAAACCAGTGTGCTCCAGAGAAGGCCTTGAAGTTCCTTGATTTGATGGCAGTCAAACATCCATGGGATTTCCTGAGTCATTCACTTTCTTGGCCTAAAAAGGCTTCTTTACAGTCAAAGAATGAGGCTATAAAACTTACTTGGTCTGTGGTTGACAAGTATGAAAGTAGTTGTGAAAAAGATACCCACTAAAAGTCTACTCAGGTTTTTTGAAAAACTGGCACTGGATTAGTGTATAAGCAACTCAGTTTCACCTTCACTTACAGCTTAGGAAAATCTCTGCTTATTTTATCCTGAGCAGCAAGCTAGGCAAAAGTGAATGCAAAGATCCTTGCTAGATTAGTCTCAATGTTAAGAGGGTTCTTTGCTAAATTAGTGTCATTAAGAGAGAGAGGATGGCTAGTGCCAGAAGGGCATTGCACTGGACTTCACAAGGTGAAGCCATCCCACTCGAGGGAACACTTGCAGGGGAACCCTGACAAGCTGAAACAGTCTTCCCTTCTGCACTGGCCTCTGTGGTACTTTCTGTGCATTAGGTAAAATAAGACTTTTACAAGTGATATGCATTTCATATCCTCAGCTTCTGCTTTAGAAATTTAGACTTTAAAATCCTGCTCCATTCTTTCCAGTTGAGTTTTTGTGAACTTTTTATAGCCCAAGCCAAATTAAGGCAGTTCACAACAGAAACAAAACACTACCAAAGTGGACACACTCAGACACACAGTGCCTTTGCATTTCTTTTGGTTTGCTATGCCTAGACAGTATGGGACTGCAAAGCTCAGTCACTAAGATTACATAAAATCAGCAATCCAATTATGGTGTTTTGTCAAGACAGCAGTGGTGATTACACTGCTCTTTAACTAAAAGAAAAACAGATACCACTTACTTCTTTCCTATACATTAGGACCTATACTGAAAAAGACTAAGATTGCAAAGCTTGTGAGTAGAGCCACTGTTGTGGCTGTTTTGCTACTACTGGCATCTGTCTCAAGAAATAATCACTTTCCTCAAAATAAACAAGATATCTCAAGAGGTATGGTATATTTATCACTGTATATATTGTGCCAGTTATAGCAACTTTTACACAAGAAATAAAAAATAAGTTACAATTAACATTAAAAAATTAGTTTATTCCAGTCCCCATAAAATAACTTTTCTTTATATGAAGAAAGTAAAAATGTACACTGGATATTCAGGTTACATTGTTAGAATTTGTGATATTCTGGTTTGCAGAATTTTATTAAAATCAGCTATAAAACTGGATACAACAAAACCAGACATGTCTTAGACACATAACAGGATTCCAGCTGAGTTTGCAAACAGCAGCACCTATTGTAATCTAAGTTTTCACACCCCTTTAGGCTTCCCAAAGACTATGCTTCTTAAAAAAACAAATAAAACCACCTGAAAAAAGACAAACAACAAAGAAACAAGGCAGACAAGAGGAAGGAATATTCTTGTCCACCAATTAATTAAAAACTTGCAAGAACTTGGGCTAAGTCTTAATTACCAGCCTTACTCCTGCAGAGTGCAACACAACCTGCAGTCTCCACAGCAATGCATTTCAGCCCCACTCAGTTTTTGCATTCCAAGTGGGAAAAGAAAAAGGAAAGACTGGAGTAAGAAACTGATGTTATTTGGAATAATTCTGACATACAAAATTACTTCCCAATGTGGGAGGTGAAAAGCTTCATGAGTCAATCCTGCTGTCATCCTCAGCATGTCTTTCAATGTGTCCTACAGCATCCTAGAAAAGAACCAGAGAAGTCAATTTAAAACAAGTCATTATGATCATCACAAAAAAAACCACAAAAGACTGCAAAATATTCCAGAAGTGTCAGTGAAAGTGACATTCTAGATAACATACATTTGTTTGGCTTAAAGCTTCTAAATATTATCATTGTCAAGCTATTAAATCACATATATAAAGTGTTTCACATAGCACAGCATTAAAGGCAAATAAAAAAATTTTCTTTTTGATTAGAAGAGCAAATTACACAAACACATCATATCCAAAGCAGCACTTAAAGAGAAATAAAGGATTCTACTGTTCATTAATTCTTGAAGAAATCTCCATCCTTCCCATATGTTGGAAAGCATTCCAAGGAAGGCAGTTTATATTGCCAAGGACTAAAATGTAGATTTTACCAGTCAGTCTATAGGTAACTGCCCTCTTTACACCCATCCCCCAATCCTTTCCACGTTACTTCATCCAATTCTTATGCCTTCTTCATTTTTTCCCCTTTCTGTGGTAACTTTTATAAAGAAGTTTATGCACTACTTATTTAAAGATTGTTTGTAAAACCAATTTCATGTGAAAAATAAACAGTGAAAGAGATAGCAATGAATAAAAATTAAAAGGATAAAAACCTGTTTTCAAGGCAGATGTTTGTTCATCTTATAAAAACATTTTTCCTTCAAAAATGTCCTAATATCTTGAGTAGAACTTCTTTAATATTTTCAGAATTGTACCATTTCCATGTAATAATTTAGGATCAAACTGTTTTAAATTGACCATATGTCAATTTACCATAGCTGCACTGCTCATCTGCCACAGGCTGAACTGAACCCTGTTAGCCTTGCATGACTATAACCACATGCAGTTAAGCCTGCCAAAGCTAGAAAAATTTAACCCTTTTTAAGAGAAATAGGATCAAGTCCCACCATTGTGGTGATATAAAGTACTTTATATTACCAAATACAATCATGTTATTTCAACCACATACCTGCTTGGAACCTTTCCTGGAGGTAAAGAAAGCATCACAGTTCTTCCAACGACATTTCAGGGTCTGAAAATTTGGATTTGTGTGGTCAGTTAGCAGGTGTTGTTTCAGATGGTCCACAACTCCAAAGATCAGTGAACATCCATGCCACTGGGAGAAAAAACAACACAACAGAATAAGCCAGGAAAACACAATTTTTGCTAATGCTTTTCTTCCTGCAATTTCACAATATTCTGCCAAGACAGTAAACACGCCTGCCAACTCCTGTAAGTTTTTTATCTTATTACATTTCCATTTTCCATGGTCTCTATTCTTTTAATTACAGCTTTACAGAAATTTTTCCTGCCTTTAGCCAAGCCTAGACCATCACCAGGAATGGCCGGAGGAAGAGGGGAAATAAGCCTTTACAAGATTTAAGCTTACCTGTGACAAAGTCATTTGGAATTTAATTAAACTTATTTAGCACAGTAAATCAGCTTTTCTATGTCACTCAGCCAAAGTTTTAGGTGTTAAACAGTTATACATCTAAAAACAGTTAGAAAGAACAGCAATTCACACTAACAACTTACCCCAAAGCACATATACACATACATACATCCATATTTATATACTCACACATACAGCAAAGACAATAAAAAATGAAACTAGTGATAAATACCTAAGTGATATATATTTTAATACACATACATACACATTAAAAAATACACATTTTTTTAAAAAAATCATGAATAATCTAAGTCAACCTACCCAAGACTAAGTGACTAGAGACCACCCCCAGAAAATTCAATAATGAAGGCTAAATACAATTTGCTAGTTACCCAGCATCGATAATTTTGCATCAGATTAAGCCTCACAGCTCTGACACTGCCATCATAGCATCCAGTGTAGATCTGTAAAAAAAACATTTATGGATAAACAAGCTGGGAATAAAAGAAAAAAAAATGCAAAATTTTGAAAGAGACTTCAGTGTAGGCAAAAGCAAAGAAATATCAGCATGCAAGGCTTCTATATTTAAAAATAGGTATAACCAAATTCTTTTAGTATTTGCATTCATAGTTCACAAAAACCTACACATGAATAAGAAATGCTTCCATAACCCCTATTGTTGATAGTGTCATGTGTGTAACAGTTGAAAAATGTTTAAATTACAGTGCTATCCACTAAAGTTAAAAAATATGTAGGTGTAAATGTCAAGTTGAATGTATTTCCAGGACCTAACCAGTTCTATGCATATCAAAAAAGGATGGAGAGGAAGTGTGTGAAAAAACATGAGAATTTCAGAAAGACTGATGCAAATCCTTTCACTCATCACTAAACTTCTCATTTAAGCCCTTTGATTTGAGAAGGTCCATGACAGACACTGCTGGGGCACAGCTCAAGCCTCAGGCTGGACTCACATGAGATGTGATGCTTGGGCAGAAGGTATTCCAATTAGTAGGAAATCTGTTCCTTTGGATTTAACTTTTCTGTTATTACAGATCACTACAATACCTTCCATTTTACAGTCTCAAAGTAACTTTG